AATAATATTATTATTTATAATAATTCTAAAATTATTTATTAACTTAGAAAATATTTATATTATATATTATATAGGCTTTATTTAATAATTTAAATATTAGTATAATTAATATCTCTAAAAATTAATAATTATAAATTTTTTTTAAAAAAATAAAGAAATTATATATCTAAATTTTATATATATTAGATTTTAAAATATAATTAAGAAATAATTAATAGTATATTTATTTTTTTATATATTATAAAAAATATAATATATTATAAAATATATTCTATTATTTTATTTAATATTTATAATATAGTATACTATAAATAATATTTTTAAGAATTATATTATAATTAACTTTTATATTATTAATAAAAAACTAAATTAAATTACTATTCTATTTTTATATAAGAAAAAATCTTTTAGATAATCTAAAAATAGTATTTTATTTTTATTATTAATATTATTTATTTTTTTAATTATTAATTAATTTATTATAATTATATATTATAGTTAAAAATATTCTATATTATTATTATAAAATATATTAACTTAATATTATATATATAATATTAGATAAATCTTAATTTATAAAAATCTTAAAAATTTTATTATATTAATATTAATAATATAATTATTATTTCTAAGAATCTAAATAAATATTTTATTTATTATAATCTTATATTTAGTTATTTTAAGAAAATAAATTTAAATTTTAAGTTTATTAAAATCTTTATAATTCTTTTTATAATATTTCTAGATTAATATATTAATATATTTTATTTTAATATATTTAAAAATAAATTTTAAATTATTAAAAAATTTTTATAAATTTAGTTAAAATAAATTATTTTTTCAATTTTACTAAATAATTATATTATTATATATAATATTATAATTAAAAAACTTTAGTTTTATAAGATTATAAAACATTTTGAATTAAAAATTATTTTAATAATTATTATAATTATACTATTTATATAATATCTATTAATATTAATAAAGAATAAGATATTTAAGAATTTATAATATAAATTTATAAATTTAAAGAAATTTATTTATTATGATTTTAAATATTAATTTTATTTTAATTTAGATATTTATTATTATAATAGCTATAATATTGTATTATATTATATTTTAAATAGATTAAAATATAAAAATCTATTTAAGTTATTTATATTAATATATAAATTATTTTATAAATATATTTTTTATTATTTCATATATTTTAAGAATAGAATTTAAAAATATTAATTATATAATATTTTATAACTAATTATTTTTATTATAAAATTATTTATATAATTATTATAATTTTTTTATAATTTTTTAATAGAAAAAAATATTTAAATATTTATAATTATTAATAAGTTTATAAAATATATTAATATAATTAAATAATGATCTATTATAAAATAAATAAATAGAAATTTATTATTATATATTATTTTTAAAAATATAATTAAAGTAGTCTAAAGATTTTTATTTTTACTTATAATATATATTTTATATTTATTCTTTAGAAAATTCTTTTCTTATATTTTAAAATTAATTAATTTTATTTTATTATTTTATAGTTCTAAATAGATAGTCAATTAAGATATATAATTTAAATTATTAAGATAATAATATATTATATTATAATATAATAAAAATTTTAATTTTAAATTTTTCTATTTATTATCTTAATAATTAATTTTATTCTAAATATTATAATAAATAAATTATTTTATTAATTATTTTTAAGTATAAATCTATAATAGTTCTAATATTTTATTATAAATATCTTAAATTATATCTAGTTATTTAAAAATAAATTTATTAATATTTTTAAAAATACTAGTATATCTATTAAAAATATAATTTTAAAATACTTAAAAATTAAAATTATTATTTTTTCTATTATAAAAATATTTTTGTTAAGTAAATTAAAAAATATTTCTAATATTTTTAAAAGATTTTTATTATTAAAATTAATACTAGTTAAGATTAGAGTGGCTTAACCTGACCGTTATACCTTAACCTTAACCTGACCTTAACCTGGCAGTCAGGTTAAGGTATAAAAATCAGATTAACCGTTATACCTGAATCAGGCAGAATCAGGCAGAAATCAGGCATGATTAGGCACAAATCAGGTAAGAATTAGGCAGAAATATTCTGCCTAAACCTACTACCTTCTTTAATAGGCTTAGTTGCCGAGAAATTTGACCTGCAGGTTAACCGTTGGTTAACCTGGGCAGGAATATATATTTCTTATACCTGACCATTAACCTGCAGTCAGGTATAAAAATTTTGATTAACCTGACCTGACCTGGCCGTTAGCCACTCTAGTTAAGATTCTTTATTATATTTTGATATTAAAAAAGTTTTTAAGTTTATAATTATCTATATATAGAAAATATATAATAGAAAATATAAATTTATATTTTTATATATTAATAATTCTGTGTATTTATAGATATATATCAAAAATATTAAAATTAAATTAAAATAATAATATATTGATTTCTTCCCTATTATTCAAATTATTATTTATTATATATATTATCTTAATTTTTTAAATTATAGATTATTTATTTTATTACTTTTATTATATAGTTTAAATTCATCTTTATAAAAATTTATTATTATAATTATATACTATTCTAGTCTTTTTATATTATTAATAAAAGATTTTTTAATAAAAGATATTAGAAAATATTTATTATTCTAAAATATATTATTTTATATAAATATATTAGAAAATCTATTATTAAATATCTTATTTATTAATCTAAATAAAATTTAATTAATAATATATAAATAGAGTGGCTAACAGTTAAAAAAAAAGTTAAAAACTGAGTATTAAAAATATATTTAGATTAATTAATATCTATATATCTTTGTTTCTAATTTGAGATCTAATAGATATATATTATTTATATAAATATTATATTTATATTATAGTCCAGTATAGCTAGACTATATATAATATATAACTAATTAGTTTCTGGTTTTTTTTCTATAGTAATTTTTAACTGTCTGGTATTTTACTATATTAAGTATATAATATATTATGAATAGATTTAGTTTATAATATATATATTTAATATATAATATATTTATTTGTAAGGTATTTTTATAATTATTAATTTTTATAAAATACTTTAATTATTAATTGTTTTTTTAACTATTACTATTAATCTGACCTAACTGTTAGCTACTCTATATATAAATTTATAAAAAAATTAAAGTATATAATCTAATCTATAAATATAAAAAATATTAGTTATTTTGATTATAGTATATTATTATTTCTTTATATTTATATTTATTTTTTTCTTTATCCTATAAATATAAATTATTTTATATTTTTTAATATGTTTATTTTATTTATTATTTATATATAATATAATATTACTTTATAAGGATATTAAGTTTATTAAATTAATATATATAATAAATCTTAGTTTATATAAAGATTCTATATTCTATTTTTTTATTATTTTCTATATTATCATAGGAAAAGACTTCTTAGATCTCTGAATTTTAACTGTTCCTGAGATTTCTTCCTAATTTAATCTTCTTACTTACTTATCTCTCAGCTTAGCCATCAACTACTGTAATAATATCTCAGTAAATTATACTTCTTATCTTATATATTTATATATATAGTCTCTAGTACTTATATCTAAGCTTTAATTTTTAAAAAATCTTTTATATAAACTTTAAATTATTAGGTAATATAAAATATATTATAACTTTCTGTATTTTTAATATTAATATAATAAAAATTTTAATTTATCTTCTTAGGCTTATAGAAGTAGATTTATATAGGATATAGATACTTATATTAAATATTTTAAGATCTTAGATAATTAATTAGCTTTATTATTAAGATATTAAGAGTTAAAAAGTAGCTATTTTATATGGAATACAGAGATGGCCAGCCCGCTTGTGGATTACATTAGTTTATGCTTATATTACTTAGTAAGTGCCAGGCTATTTAATGTAATATAATCAGTAAGCGAGTGGTCTATATAGGTGAGTAGCCCAACTCTGTATTCCTTATAAAATAGTTATTATTCAAAGCTGAATATCTTAATAACTATAATACTTAAGAATATAAAATATAAATATATATTAATCAAGTATATTTTTTATATATAGTATTATTTTTAAAGACTAGAAAATTATATTTCTTAAAATATTTAAAATTTATATTAAATTATAAAAAATACTAAAAATATATATATATCTAGGTAATTAAAATATATATTAGGTTTTTTCTAGGCTATACTAGATAATTATAGTAATATTAAGCTTATTCTAAGTTTTATAAAATATTTATAAGAAAAGGTTAAGATATTTAGCTTTTAATAAGAGCTACTTTATATAGAATACAGAGCTGGGCTACTCATCCATATAGACCACTTGTTTACTGATAATATTAATTAGTAAGTAAATAGTGTATATAAGCCAGCAGTATACTATATTTTCTATATAGAATAATAATTTTTAATTCTTTATATCTTGATTAATTCTGGATATTATTTTATATAATCCTATATATAGTTTTATATAGTTATATATTAGTACTTATATTAAGGCTTTTTAATTTAAAGCTTAATAAGACTTAATATAGAAAAATATAGTATATTTTTATATTTTATTCTTTTTCTAGAATAACTTCTTTAAAAAGGATATAGATATTTTTAAATAAGATTTATAAAGAATTAATATACTTATTTCTATAATATATTTATTTAAGTTCTCTAAATATTCTTGTTGTTGAATTATATAAGTTTAAAATATCTAGATTTAATACTAAATACAGCTCTGCGCTGCTCACTTACACGCGCCACTCGCTTACCGATTACGTTAACTAACCAAGTTAAGTGACTACAAAAAGAGAGTAGGAAGAGTGGGACAGGGGTGACACCACTCACTACCTTTTAGAAGCAGAGGCTAAGCTTAGTATCCGAAGTACTTTCCATGGACCTTTTTCTGAGCAGACATCCTGACAGACCAAGATGCCCCCGAACGATGTTGGCCAACTTTCCCGGATTCTGCGCATTCCACGATCTGATGAACCAAATGCGTGCGTACTATTGCACATTGTTTGTTGCGGCGCTTCCATACTGGATTTGAATCTTATCGGCACAGAAGGGGAGTGCCCATATACCGGCACAGGTATGTAGCGTCCCATCATTAGTGGGAGATCGACGACCGATGCATCACAGTCTAACACATTTGTCATAGTGCGACAGACTCGCCTTAACTCATATCGCTCAAAGAACTATCAAGGCACCGAAGACGAGTGGGCTCACATTATGCTTCATGTACTAGGACAATTGGAATATTCCAGGATGAGGCAGGATATACTTACAGGGGTGGAAACGTCGGCTTCAATCGCTGGCTCTGAAGCCAAGGGCAATGAGATGACAATCGTGATACGGAAGAGGATTCAATCTATAACCGTACGTACCGGCTTAGGCAGCCTTAATCGGTTGCTCCTACTGATAATATCCAGCAAAAACTGGGGGCTATAATCCTGAATCAGAAGGATGAAGAAGCCATTCATCTCTACGAGTGGACTTCTATCTCCGCCGAGAGGACTGGTCTCCTCGAGAAGCGCTGTTTGACTCTGCAGGACCGCTGTCAGAATGCTGAGGAGACCATAAATAATTTAAGGAAACAGCTTGATGAAGTCATAAACGCCAAGACTCGACACGAACAACAGTTGGTGAACAATTTTATGCAGCTTCTCAACGAGAAGAAATTGAAGATCCGCAATCAACAGCGCGTATTGGCTTCCACAGATTTTGCTTCACAGACTAGTAGGTGTTCCACCACGGCAATCTGAAGTTAGATATCCAAGCTGATCAGTGAAAAGCTCCAAGGTCTAAAAACCAGGAAGCGCCTCCGGGTGAATCCACGCAAATCACGACGGCTAAAGGGGGAGCGGGCAGTTCAGTCTCGAAACCATCACATACTATGTCGTGTAGTGAAGACGACATCGAAAATTTAGAGTTAGAACGGGAAAACCGCCGGGTAAGCCTTGAAGCAGCACTAGGTACAGACAACGAGCCGTCTTCAACGCCGCAACAAGCGTTAGAGGAAGATGGCTCTACTACTGATGAAGATATGTCTACTACTTCTACTCACGACGCCCAGACAAGCAAGCTTGACTCAAAAAGCTTTCATTCACAGTCTACAAGCAAGAATCAAGTCATTCCACCTCGAAGAGAGCTTCCATTCGCGAAGACCACGGGAAAAAACGCAGGGATGCGAACAGTTCGGCCTGAATACAAAGAATCTGGGCACAGCTCAGGAGAGACAGACGACGATGAGCTATAGCCTGAATTTGCCAGCAGCTTCAGGGCATAGCTTTTAGGCATAAGGAATGATGCATTTTGTAGTCCTTGATTGTTATACGCGGGCCCTCGAAATAATCTTCTGATGCGGCGGATTCTGGTTTACTACATGGGCTGTAGGCAACCAATCAATACAGAGTCTGCTGGTGAACAAGCGAATGTTGCATGGCTCTGTCGTACCACCAAATATAATTTTTCGATCTTATGTACAAATTCATCACTGCTGATGTGGTTTGAGACTTCCCTTGGTGTGATTGTGAGATTTGACAGAATAGGCCGAGAAAGCACAGTACTTGAACTATAATAACATTGGACTAGGGCAAAAGCATCGAAGGAAAAAGTTGTTTAGGTGTTACAACAACAACGCCTAGACCACCAGACAAATAGGAAGAAACTGGGTCAATAGTGAAAAATCGGAAATCTAGCCATACAGAGCCTTCGGAGACATCTCTCCAGCGGCCATGAAGTTTGTCTCGGGGTTTCCAGTCGCCTTAGCGGCAGAGCAGCGAGCCATAGTGGGAGAACTAGAGTAGCAGTTAGCAAGGAGACAAGTACGGCTTTGCAACGAGCATCAGAGGAAGAGGCTTGTGCTTGATACATACCTCCGAGCAATGGAATCAGTAAAATAGAAATCGTCGATGATCTTCTTGAAAGGTGTATTGGTCGATTGAGAGCCCTTGTTCTGATCAACTAACTGAATCTTGCTCAATGAGCTCAAGGATGTTGGTTCAACCACGTCGTATCGGCGCATGACAGGACTAATTTCTTCCATACGGTCGCGCAGTGCCTCGATGTCATCGTAAGGAAGAGGTATGCTGAGGAATTCACTAACGGCACGGATGATCTTCCAGTCGTCACGTGCAGCACCAGGCAAGGAAGTGGCAGCTCGAGTGACTTGCACACGGCCCTCCGTGTTGATGTAGGTTCCAGATTTCTCAGTATACGCCGCGCCAGGCAGAACAACATCGGCGAGCTGAGCGCCTCTATCACCGTGGTGTCCCTGGTAAATGACAAAGGCGTCATTGGGAAGTTCGCTCTGAGCGATTTCATCAGCACCAAGAAGCCAAACCATCTTGGGCTTGCTCTGAGAGACTTCGGGAGATGGCGTAGCGAAGCCCACTTCATAGGCAGCCGCACGGGATGCTGCGCGTTGGAGAACGTTGTAGCCTTGCCAATCTGGAGTATTGAAGTTGTTTGCGTGTTTCTCTACAAAGCTGCCGATGGACTCGAAAATCGCCTTAGCATCAGGGTGTTCAGCAGCAGCACTGCCAACAATGATCATAGGTCTTTTGGCCGTAGCGAGCTTTTCCCCGAAGGTTCCGGAAAGGGCTGCCTTCAGGGAGGAAACATCGGCACCCAAGTGCTCGAACTCGAAAGTGCTTTCAAATTCCTCGCCAACAAGCCCGATTTCAAGATCAGACCGTAGATACTGCTTGCGAATACGCGCATTGAGAACGGAGGCTTCATGGCGAGGATTTGTAGCAACCAGAAGGATCGCATCGGCCTCCTCGATTCCATAGATCTTAGAGTTGAAAAGATAGTTGGAGCGAACATCAACACCGTGAGCAATTGGGGTGCTGCCGCCTGGCTGGTCCAGTGCAAGATTGTCAGACCCAAGCTTATTAGCCAAATCCTTCATAGCCACCAATGTTTCAGCATCTACCAGATGCCCGGCAACGGCTTTGAACTCATTCTCCGTCGGCCGAAGTCGCTGGTGGGCTGACGAAATTTCGGTCAAAGCCTGCTCCCACGTTACGGGGACGAACTTCCCTTCCCGGCGGATTAGAGGTGTCGTAAGCCTCTGAGTCTTGAGACCATCACATGCGAACCGAGATTTGTCGTTGATCCATTCCTCGTTGATATCGTCGTTCAGCCTTGGAAGTACCCGCATCACCTCCATGCCTCGAGTATCTATCCGTATGTTCGACCCCAAAGCGTCATGCACGTCAATAGATTCAGTGTGTTTCAGTTCCCAAGGGCGAGCACGGAAAGCGTAGGGCTTAGAGGTAAGAGCTCCGACTGGACAAAGATCAATGATGTTACCAGAAAGCTCGGAGTCAAGGTTCTTTTCCAGGTAAGTGCCGATTTGCATGTCGTTTCCTCTGCCGGTGGTTCCGAGTTCGGGAGCTCCAGCAACATCATTCATAAAGCGAACACAGCGTGTACAGTGAATACAACGATTCATGGACGTTTTAACAAGGGGACCAATATTTTTGTCCTCGACGGCACGCTTGCCCCCGACTTCGTGGAAACGTCCACGGTCAGCACCATATCGCATGGATTGATCTTGAAGATCACACTCTCCACCTTGGTCGCAAACAGGGCAATCCAGAGGATGGTTGGCAAGCAGAAACTCCATAACACCTTCCCGAGCTTTATGCACCAGCGGCGAATTGGTTTTGACATTCATTCCAGGCTGCACAGGCCAAGCACATGACGCCACGGGCTTAGGTGCCCGCTCGACTTCGACGAGGCACATACGACCTAAAGAGCAGTCAATATCGACAACAAAGCCGAATAATGTCCGAACGCAAACATACAGTTACCTGCAACCAATAGCTTCCTGGTAAGGTATCAGCAATGTTAGTTGTTCTCTTAGAAGGGGCTAGAATATCCGTCGGCTTACTCATGGTAACAATATCTATCAAGAGTTAGTGATTTGCGCTCAAATGTATTATATCACATCGTAATTCTTACCTTGGGACTGTAGCACCTGCTTTTTCACAGGCTTGGATAAGAGCCGAGCCGGCTGTGAAGTAGTGTAAGAGGGGAGTTCAGAAATTGTACGAGGAAGATTAAGTCACCTTCTACTGAAACCTTCTTCCCATCTAGAACAATAAGTTAGCAAAGCCATCAAAGTGACTTCAAAGCCACAGTAACTGACCAATGGTGAGTTCCACTTCGGCAGAGCGAGGGGATGTCGTCGCGAGAGCCCTGAGATGGTTGACCTTTGGGACCCGGATGAGCCGGGCGGCCGCACGATACAGCTGCGGCCGCATACTGTGACGAGTGTCAAATGTGAAAGGGTTGGGTTAGAGCGAAGTCAACCCGAAGGGTAGGCAACAATAGGGTGGTAGAGGACTGAAGTGAAGGGTGTCCTTGGAGAGAGTGCACTCTGGCCTGGCTCGGATTCTGCCAGACACAAGTCGGAGCGTCACTCGCAAATTGCCGTCTGCGGATTGGTTCGGATGTACGGGAGATAATATAATCCGAGCCACACATCTTTTCTCCCTATAAACAAGCTCCGTCTTCCTATTTTGCTTCTCTTCTCTTTTTCTTCTTTCCTCTTCAGACTTATAAACTCATTTCGTGGGCATGATTATTGTAGGTGGTAGGGTCATCTTTTCCTCTACTTCCTCTGCTACATAGCCCTAGAATAGTTGCACTGAGCTGGAGCTCCTTAGGGCTGTTCTCGTCTTCACAGCTGTGAAATGAGGCGGTCTGATGCAGGTATCGTTCTTTACTGACAGTTGCTACATGTCTTATAATAAATAGTAAATCACGAAGATAATTCAGGCGGCATTCACATGCAATTTTCTAGTGATTAGGTTAGTGTGAATATATATATAGGCTTCAAGAGCGCGACCATAAAATCGACGATCGGTACTCTACCTGACAAAATTCATGTAAATCTCTCCTTGGTGTGCCAAGACTCTATACGCATAACATTCAATGCAGATACAGAGGTACATGACGGCACTTCCTGTACGACAAGCTTTGGTTTATAGCGTATGTTATGTATCAGTTCTACGGCGCTGCATTGAGTGTACTTTACGCAATCGGGTTTGAATCGACCTGGCCAAGTAGGCAGGACATCATCAAGGCATTATATACCGCGCTCTGAATCCCCAAACCAGTCCCTAGGTATCTCGCAATATCGATAACATTATTGCCAGCTCTACTGTTTCACAACTAGATCCGGCAAGATATATAGTGAATGGAAAGGGTAGGAGAAAAGAGAAGACATCGCTTAGGAATCATTAGGATGCCACGTAGTCTCTTGCCTGGTACCAGGGGGGAGCCAGACTCGGGAAGAGCTGCTTCCTCTTGGACGAGCGTAAATCGAGTTATCATCCTTCTTCGAATCGGTCGTATGTGAGATCGTATCACCCAACGGCTGATAGTCCGTTATTTTGCTTGAGACTGTAGCGAAACCATTGGACTGCCATGCTTTCCCTGGTGCCCGTGCGTTCAACGGGAGTACCATGTCATTAGCGCGGAAGCGATCAGCGTTTGCTTTCTGGTCAGCCAAGTCGTCATGACTGTTGCGGTCGTAAAGATAAAGCCCAACAAAAGTGAGCAAAATCCCAAGTCCTTGAACAACGGTCGTTGAACTGCCGAACCAAACGACCGCAACAATAATGACGAACACCCTCTTGACCAATGATGCAACGGAGTATGACACTGGCGATATCATAGATAGAAGGATGAACGCCAAAATGTTCTGCGCGAAATGCGACACACCGTTGAAAACAAATTCGAGGAACAGAGCACCGTGGTCAAGAGAATCCTCTTTTCCTGTTAGAGAGATGGCACCGTCCTGCATGAGGTCTGATATTAAGGGGTATCCTTCGCAGGCGAACCATATGGGCAGCGTCAGGACAAAAGCTAGGCCAGAGCAGTAATACAACAAATTCAGCTTGTCCATTTTTTGCCGACTTGAGGGTTCGAGATTTGATTCTGCGCGTGCCGCTTCGTTGAACAGTTTTTTCGAGAATATGTTCTGTGAGACGAATACAAGAGCTGCGATTAGCGCACATAGAATGCCGAAGAAATTAGTTGAGAAACCTGTGGAGCACGCGAGCATGACACCGAGGGTTAATGGAATGAGCGACAAATAAGTCGCTTTGGCATATCGAATGCGAAATAGCACACGATATGCTACGACCGTGAACAGGGGCGATAGTCCCTTAATGGTGTGAACAAGCGAGACTGGTATCTGTGAGGTGGCCATGGAGCTGAGGATATGACCCGCTAATTGAAATATTGCTAAAGGTAATGCAGTAGCAATGATATCGCGTGATGGTGTGCGAATGCCATGCTTAAGCGCTGGTATGCTACCCTTGAGTGAGGGAAACATTTTGGACATAAACGACAACAGCAGGCACCAGAAAGACACGAAGGCAAATTGTACCATCGTCAAGGTAATTGGTTTCGGCAGCGCATTCAGAATCGATTTTGAGGAGGTGTTTGTCAAAGCCGAAGTCATATACCAGATGAGACAAAGAGTCTAGAAACAGGTCAGCATGGCTCGAATACAGAAGCCAGACATAAGATGTTACAATTAATTGGTATGAGACTGGTGCCTTGAGTGCCTCAGCCAGCTCCTGAGCATTGGCACTCACGCTACCATTGCGTGTCCTGATGGTGCTAATTGCTTCGCTTATACTCTTCCTCGATCGTTGTCTCGTATTCTTAGCCAATCCTGTTTTCTCATCGTAAGGAAACTGCCCTGTCTTTCGCGGCTCCCCGCGTGTAAACGCATATCTAATCGAGGGACTCGAGTGAAGTTCCCTTGGCTCCGTCAGCGTATCGGACGACTCGTCACTGAACGGCGGAAACTTGTCTATCGGGCTTGTCATTGGTTGCGGGCCGTGTGTATTTGCAGGCATATGTAGCTCTGAGAGCAGCACAGAAGGGCGTCGCCCAGTACCGGTCAGAATCGTTGTGCTCATTCGGGTGCTTGTACTAGAACTTTACTTAAGGCAAATTGCTGGTGATGTTAGCTAGGTCTAGGGCGGGGCGAACATGTGTGACACCGTACCAGATTTAGGGGGACAAGGGCAATCAAAAAGCGCACCGGTCCAGAGACTCGGCAGAAGGCAATAGCAGGGATCACAGAAATTATGAAGCGATGGCCGGGTTCTGCAAATTGACAAGAATGAAGGACGTGGCGTCCACAACTTGTGAGGGGCCGGCAACACAGTGGACGGTAGTGTGCATCAAAGCCAGATCTGGAAATTCTCAAAATCCGCGGCGGCAATAGGCATAACCTAGGTGATAGGTCTGAAGAGCAGAAGTAGCAAAACCCTCGCTACGTCGCTTTCTATTGATACTTCGAGTTGAATGGAGGCCCACGGTACCAGTGTAATCTAAGGGCTGCAGTGTAAATGAAGCAAGTAGGAGGTGGTAGTTCTCCGGCAAGTCCATCGGTGCTAGTAAAATCCGTAGTTGGTTAGTATTTGGCCGGGCCGAGGGGCGGAGTGCTGGATGACGAATCTTGACTGACGAATCATACTCAGGTTTTGAGGACACGCCGCCCGGGGGTGAGGACCATGGACCTACCTATGAATCATGTAGTATCCTACGGAGCTTGTACCTAAACTTGCAGGATGACTTAGGGCAAAGGTATGGTTTATCGCGGTACATAGATATTGAGTAAAGGAGAGAGATATTATGGTTCTCTTCTCATTTCTCTTCTTGTTTGTAACTTTTCCTGATAAGTCAATGTTAGACCAAACTGATACGTACCGTTATTGTCTTACTCTCTTATTTAGACGGTTTCATAGTAGGTCGTTCTTCACACCTGGAGAACCGGGTAAAGACATAACACCAGTACTTCATCTTTTATTAGCAGCCATGGTCCTTGGATCGGGCCAAGTATAGACTACAGTGTATGTCAGGGATCATGGCTGTGCCATCGAGACTTACTGGGAATTGTGTTTTTTTGCAGCCAAACCTGAGTCAAGCAAAATTTGGATCCGATCAGACAGGGAGCTCTTCGACCATGTGTAATAGTCTATGAGTTGTATTATCTCTGAGTTCATGCCGTTGCATAGTACAATTCTTTCTATTTTGCGCCAATTCCATAATTATCAATCTTTCTTGTCTTTTGAAATTGCCACAATCTCGATGCTCCGCCTCCTAGAAAACAGTGTAAAATCATTCTAATGGTCTCCCGTCTCATTCTTATCTCCGAGAAGCCCCCCGTTACACAAGAAAAATAGAGGTAGTCCCGGCACACATACCCAGTGTATACTGGATGTTAAGATCAGCCCGGTAGGCAGATCTAATATCAAGTGTAAAAGAGTTGCGGACGACTGTCGGGGTTTCGTATGAGACATTGACATTTATTGTTTCCAAATCATCTTCCTCTCCCAGAACAATGGGTAGGAAATTCCGCGAATGCACCATAGAAATTCTGTTCTATCCGATCAATTCTATGTGCTATGGATATATCAAGGCTACGGTATCATATTCTAGGCTTTTCCGTAGTATATGACACGGTACGCTTCAATATGCCCTTGCTTGGTACATAGAGCACAGCTTTCCTATAACAAAACTGTTCTTTTAAGCTTACAATATACATGGTTAATGAGCATTAGTGCTATGTAATAATCATTACATACATACAATACGCTCTATATACAATAAGGTAGAAGAATTTCTTGAAAGGATAATCATAATTAATTTCATCATTCTGATTATAGTAGAATTTTATAAGTGAGGTATGCGCTACTACGTAATATCCATGGAGTATCCATGATGTCGGCAACCATTGCTCCAGTGCTTGAGTACTTTGCAGGTCATGTGCCGAAGGAGATGAGGTCATCGTCTGCGTCCTCCGCACGCAAACTGGTTAGATAGTTGCTAACTTGCTGCTAACTCAGTAAGATTCAACTTCCGCGGCTTTCCCCGCCCCTGTCAGTTATCTATCACTATAAGTGTCAATGCCACAATCTGCAGGCTCTGATTTCCCTAATAAGCCGTTGAAGATACTTTCAATATTTCATGAAGTCTCCTTCATCTGTCTCTTCTGATTTTATATGTCTTTCCAGTATGGAAAATTAGGGCGGTGATGGTGATGTCGAGGAGGATCATAATTATGATCATGATCATGCAGTAGGGAATCTGCTGGCCCCACTTATAGGGCCGCATTCTCCGGGGCGTCGGGTAGATACTTATAGATTGTTAGCTCGAAAATTACTGAGATATATAACAGCTCTAATACCTAGTCTGATAATGTCTAGGCGAGCCTGGTTGGTGATTGAACCTATATTTAGTCAGTTCTCAAGCCACTTGCGCATGCACCCCCGATATATACTAGAACTGGATTGCCAACATTCGTGCAACCGCACAGGTTCTAACTAGTATCTCCCCAGACCTTAGTCTATATAAGTATATCTCTCTATCTTCTATCCCTTCCACCATCACCAAAAGTCTGTACGAAACCCCCTTCAGCCTATCTCAGGTCGGATACGATAATTTATACCAAAACAACATACGCTATCTCTTCCAGACACTTACTCGGATCGGGAACCCCACAGGAGCAAGTTAACAATCTTCATATCGGCAATGGCGACAAATCTCCCTTGGATCTTCTTAGTTCGGGTTGCTCAGGTTATTTTCGCCGTCATCGTTCTTGGCTTGACGGCATATTGTCGGTTGACCCCGAGGACAGTAGCTAAAATCATAGCTGACGGATAACAGACATCAGCTGGTACAGCTACAGTGACACCGTGAACTTCATGCTATTCAACGGAATATGGACAGCCTTTGTCGCCACGCCTTACCTTGCTCTCTCACCCATGTACTCCCCACGGATCGCCCATATATTCATCATGTTAGCGGTCGAGGCAGTCACCATGATCTTCTGGTTCGCAGGCTTCATCGCCTTGAGTGTTTATCTGCCACCGTCAGAATTTTGCCACTGGAGCAGGTGTCGAGCACTGCAGGCTGCGACCGTCTTTGGGGCATTTGAATGGTAAGTTCCCCGTCTGGACGACTATGAGGCGAAAGACAATCACTGAACACACTGAACGCTCAACATTCCAATAGGGCACTATTTGTCGCTACCACTGTCGTAGCAACTTTCGAGATGATGCGATCTCGGTCCAATAGTGCGAGTACGAAGCCTGGCCCGTATGCTTCCGGTCACGCTGCTGTGTGAACAAAGGAATCGAAGTAAAGCAGAGGCGATCAATTAAGTGACGTCATAAGAAGGGCCTCGCATGCGCCCAAAGATTTTTGATACCACTCAAATTCTCCAGTCGCGATAAAGACGACGATGCGGATTTTGAAGCCAATGACCGTGCCAGAAAAGCAATATGAGTATTTAGGAGAGGATGCTAGGTGCCGTGACGCGGCGTTTTTCTCAAGGGGTTTGTTTCCAACTTACGTTCAGGATATCCATGTCTAATTTAACCAACTTAACCAACTTGAGCTCATGCCGTGCTCAATATTCGTGCTATGGCAGAAACCTTTTCGGTTTGTTTTTACTCACATACAACATATAGTCATTGTCGGGATGGGGAACAATGATCATGCCTACAAGACAAATAGACCGACCCACAATTTGTGCAATCCATATTGCGATAGCGGAGCTTGCATGAAGACGCAGATATAGATGTACAACCGGCAATAAATTTACAACATATATGTACGGCATATGCAGAATGGGACTGGCTTGTAGAAAGGAATATACTTGAAGGCATTGTACTTGGGCGTACTTCAGCGGTGAAGTTAGTATCTCCGAAGACAGTAGTGATCATGCCTGCTCCTGCAGTACACCACATGTATATACTCCCTATATTTCTTACAATAAGGGATAAAGATACACACGCTGAAAACATAGATCTTGCCCCGTAACAGCTACAACAAGCTCTCAGTAGAAGCCGAAGAGCTTCCTCATACCCAAGAAAGGATGTATGGCCCGCTTCCTCAAGACGGTCCGAGGCCTTGAGATTGAAGAGGTATAGAGCTGGAACAGTCTTGTCCTTCGAGGGCTTATAGAGGAAAGAGGACAGTCAGTATTCGTATCTATTTGGTCAGCTACCGGGCTTAGTGTTGGACTTGATGCTGTAGATTGAAGATCGAGGAGCTTTTCAACTCATGATATCAGATTAAGCTACCTGGCACTCCTGCTAAAACATCCCTTTGCCGGATATCCTTTGATAGTAACGGCCTTCCGTGCGCGACTTCCTCCAATAGTCACTATTTGGAGGCTTCCTTGCCCCTTCTAATACTGACGGCCTTCCCATCGCTACTTCCACATTTACCCCTACTCTACATGTCATATTCCGGGATCACTGGAACCCCAGACGCTTCATATAGTTAACTGCTGACTTTGTGACTATTTGCCTCGCGTCTCACTGGCTGGGTACTAACCCTATTTTACCAATTACTGCCGTCGCCCCGGCCCCTCCCATAACCACCGCTCATACACTCCTTGCGAAGCAATTGACATTGTTGACTTCAAGTCACTCTAGTCTCTCACTCTGCCTTATGCTACTCGACGGATGCACAACTGCGGATCTTGAAGTTGAATCTTGCATTGCCGTCATTGCACATAATGTCCCTCATGGCACCAGCATCGTCAAAGCCGAGCCACACTGAGAGTGAGCCTCATCGCAGTGCTGCAAGTGCTGTTCATGTACTAGGCTTTGAACATGAAGTCCCAGTTAGTAAATGATAACATCCCAAAAAAAGAAAAGAAAGAAAAAAACTTTTGCCCAACGCAGGCAAGTACATTTTTGTTGCTGACAACTCCGCTCCGATATTAGATTCAAAAGCATTCCAATGCTTTAGCCAGTGTGCCCGAGCCTCTGAAACCATTTGTGCCCGAAGGCACTCAATTCTCGGCAGATGAAGTTTCTTATGATGTTACATCAAGCAAGGTCAGAGCCTCGTGACTCACGCCAACATTTCAAGATCTCACAAGCCTAGAAGCAGAAGTTGGAGCATTCCAGTATTGCCTCTCCCACCGCACATACAGAGATGGATAGGATCCTGGCAAAGCTCTCGCCCAAACCTCAGCTATTCGAGACCATGTCTTCTGTGGAGCAGAACCTATTCTCGAGACTACCCAGCGAACAGTATCTACTAAAGCGGCATAGCCATCACATGTATGACGATCGTACGGACTCGGATTATGGTGATAATTACGCAGACCTTGACAAGTCTTCCCACAGCGTGCCATCAGCAGAAGTTCCTCGAGCACCTATTAGCCTGGTCGAAACCGAGCCGTCGCATGATGCTCATATCAACATGGCCGAGGTCCTACGTTTGAAGCAGGAATTACTGGCCGCCAACTCAAAAATAGCTCTACAGGAGCAGGAATTGGCCCAGACTCGCGTGATCAAACATACCATAGATCAAGCACTCGGACCACCTTCTGAAGCTGAGTTCAATGGAAGGGAAGTGACAGAGCAAACAATTGCAAACTTACAGAGTGCATTCAAAGCGTCGCAGTCTGGGTTTACGTCTATACAGGATGGCTGGAATACGCACGAAGACTCCCAGTCAGACATGTCAGATGCACTCTCCGCTGGAGCATACAACAGAAGTCGAGGTTTATGGACTTCTACAGCCCAGAAAGTCATGAACACAACGATAAGCTCGCCGGCCACGGAAAGACCCTATGGAGAGCCATTCCCACTGCCTAGCAACAGTCCCTATGGCGAGGACTCGAATAGGTTCTGGGCTGGCTCAAGTACGAGTCCCAGTGTTTCAAGCCATGATGTTTTCCCATCACATCGCGTGTTCTCAGGCCCAGTCACGGGAGCTTTCACACTTGATGCACACTCTCCCGAAGAACAAATTAGGTACATTCAAGGGCCAGCGCTAGGGCCACGGCGCTCCTTTACTCAGAACGGCCGGGGTGGATCCTGCTTTCCAGCTCACGGTACTCCATGGGGAGCCTTTGCTTTAAGTCCTGAGTCTACCTTCTCGAGGCTTTCTGTGGATAGGCCCAATGGGACTTACCAACAAGTTGGGCTATACCCAGTTCACCCATATCACCAACGTCCAGTCGGAACTCCACTCTCACCAACAGCCACGGAATTTAATGCAAATAACTCGTGGCAGACATCATCGGTGAGCAGAAAACCGGTTTTCGTTTTCTTTCTTGCTGCTTTGGTTTGAACTTACATATCTAGATTGGCACAAATTCCAGTCAAACATATATTTCACCATTGGAACCGATCAATTACCGGCGACTGCTTGACAAAAATGTTTCTTGCGATTGGAAATATATAGTCGATAAGATCGTGTGTAATAACGACCAGCAGGCCTCGATATTTCTACAGCAAAAACTCAAGGTTGGGACAACCGAGCAAAAATATGAGATCATAGAGGCAATCGTACACCAAGCCTACCCTCTCATGATAAATCGCTTTGGGAATTTCCTCGTCCAACGCTGCTTTGAACATGGGACCCCTGACCAGATCATCGCAATTGCCAATGCTATCAAAGGAAATACCTTGAGCCTAAGTATGGATCCGTTCGGCTGCCATGTGATACAAAAGGCCTTCGATTGCGTTCCTGAAGAGCATAAAGCAGTTATGGTCCATGAGCTTTTACGGAGAATACCAGAAACTGTCATTCATAGGTACGCATGTCACGTCTGGCAGAAGCTATTTGAACTGCGGTGGAGTGCAGAACCTCCGCAGATAATGAGTAAAGTAAACGAAGCACTATGCGGGATGTGGCATGAAGTCGCGTTGGGCGAAACGGGAAGTTTGGTGGTGCAGAATATATTCGAGAATTGCGTTGAGGATGAAAAGGTGATACCTCGCCTTTTCTCATTCTTTCCCGGACCATCCAGACAACCGATCCAAGCTTGAACATTCTGCTCAGAAGACATTAACCACCCTGCTGGCTTTGCAATATGCTAACGCGATGCGCAGCGCCCTGCCATTGAAGAGGTTCTATCGAAGATCGACATACTTGCACATGGCCAATTTGGAAACTGGTGCATCCAGCATGTTTGTGAACATGGTGTTCCTCACGACAAGAGCCGCGCCATCGAACACATTCTTGCCTGGTCAGTGGATTACAGTATGGATCAATTTGCTTCGAAAATTGTGGAGAAATGCCTGAAGATAGGTGGCTCCGAGTTCCTGGATCGCTACCTTGCCCGAGTATGCACAGGCCGCAGTGATCGCCCGAGGATGCCATTGATTGATAGTAAGTTTATTATCCAATGTGTGTGGCTGTCTCTGATTCAGCGTAGTTGCAGGAGATCAGTATGGCAATTATCTCGTGCAATGGATATTGATTAATGCCGCGCCGCATCAGCGTGAGTTAGTCGCCAGCCATATTAGGTATATACCGGTCAGCTGGATTGCCTAGAACTTGTTACTGATGTGACATGCAGAAAACACATGGTGTCTTTGCGTGGCTCGAAGTTTGGTTCCCGTGTGGCCATGCTATGTTGTAACCCTTCTCATACGACTCGCCCGGGGCCAGGCGCCGGCTTGTCAGTCAATCGGTTTAGCAATTTTGGCGATGACAGGTACCAGATCTCTGGGCAACATGGCGGGCGCTTCACCCGCACAAATCAGTGGAACCCTAATTACCCACCATTCCGATGAAAGTGTCAAGAAGAGTGTTGACCCAAACGCGTCCTTTGGAATCACGAGAGGAACTTTCAACAAAATTTTCACCTCGATTATTCCAAGTAACTACCGAATGCCCTATACACCGTTCATACTTCGTTCAATGGCGGGACTGCCGAAGGGTGCGCTTCGCTTTGTGCGTGGTTGATCTTGTTTAAGTCGGATGAAGCTCACATCTTATTCTTCCATATGCGCTGTTATAGCACTATGCTGTGTATTGTGGCTCATGGTCCAGGAAAACTGTTTTCTATTCTATCTGAAGCAAGTCGAGGGGAAAAGGAAACAGGCAACGGAACAATAGCAAGATAGTTGGGGAGCTACAGTATCTATACCTTTGACTTTATCACTCAAAATATTCTAGAAAAGGCAAGATTGGATTTAAGTCATGATCGATTATGCGTAGGGTTTACGGACAGTGAAAGTTATTGATCACTAGTCTACTACCTACTGTGCAGAGGCTCCTATCATTAAATATAGACTATAATGACATGATAAGCTACTCTATACCACTAAGGACCTAGTTGGTCATTCAATTAGAGCAAAATTCCTGCGTCGGCTAGATTGAGCACCGCTTTAAACATAAGCCCGAAGTCAGTATTCAGTTGCCAGGCTCCTCGCCGTTTTCCTGCTCCCACGGCTTCCGTCTTTTCGATTTGGTACTTGGTGTATCTTGACCAGAAAGTACAGTGTCTGGTACCTGCTGAATTCCAGGTATGGGTTGCCCGGTCGTAATGAGTTCGACTATGTGAGCGAATGATGAAGGATATGCGGGCTCTGCTTGCCCTGATCGTGAATTTGCATGGCCTGCAGATGCCACGCTGGATTGCTGCTGGTTCACAGTACTAGCTTGAACTGCCGTAGGCCTGGCTTGAAGCCATGCCTGATAACCTGCGACATTGACTGGAAACTCGAGCTTTTCTTTTCTGAACCGAGAATAGTATTGCCAAACTTGATTAGAGCTCTATCATGCAAATGTCTTGTTGACGGAGGAATTTTACCTCGAGAAGTAGAAACATTTGGCTTGCAATGTAATATCGTCGTCGCGATCAATCTCTGCTTTTGATGCTGGTGTTCCGGGATGTCCGAGGATTATCGAAAGCCCAAGAGCAAACTCAGGATCCTTTTCGAATGGATATAGTCTCAGTTTTTCAAATAACTTGATGTCTTTTTCATGTTCAGCTTCATGTGGATCTGTTGTTTTATCAAAAGACCGGATCAAGCCCTCCTGTGAGACAGAATCGTAATCCATAATCGTGAACGGGGCTATGGTGACATAGGTTCGCAGTAAGTCGATCCTTTTGCCACAAGTAATATATCGGGGAGCTTGCCAATCGGAGTGTGTAGTGGACGTGCGGCATGTGAGTGTGGGCTGCGTCATAGGCGCTAGACGCAAGACTAGCCGAGGTCTGCTGCACACATTCCGCGGTAATACCTGCAGTGCTTCTACTCATTTTCTACAGAAGTTGAGAACCAGCAACTTAGATTAAAACAGTTGCAGTCTTCGCCAATCCAAAGACTTGAGGCATTCATTGACGGAGGAGGAATCGTACACCCAATGTAATACTGATACTACTTTGCTCAGGATGCCATGTGCGGATCGCTGTCATGGATGTGTTTACAACGATACCACGCTCAAGACGCTCGCATATGACGATTACATTTTCTGCTGACTGCCCATACACTGGCCGCCGCTCCGCTTTGCTAGGCTGACTTCCGTGTCTCGTTCCCGACCAACATCCATAGTGTACGGCTTACGGATATTGCACGTCCTGCGTAGAGTGGGTGGCGAGAACGGAGCGTCTCGTAGTAGTACTGAGTTATATCGACTAGATCATGCCGATGTATCCATCCTGTCAGTAATATCAGCACCAGGAGCAGGCCTGGGCGACGTTGGCGACGTGGCTCTGCTTTGACAGCCAGGGCAGTTATGCACAACTTCATGAGCGAAAAGGTCGCAGTCAATGCAAAAATGATTCCGACACACAGTACATTCGTAGCGACTGCTTACGCTCATTCCTTTTGACTGTACGTCTGACGCCTGCCATTGATCTTTGGAAGGCACGAGGGGGAAAGTGATACCGCAAGCGAAGCAGGCCGCGCTACGCGAGGCCCGTTGCCACGGAACCTCGACCCAATTCACCAGTGGGAAAAGGTGGTGATAAGAGCGAGCGAGATGCGTGGATAAAATTAGTGTCAAACCGCAGGAAGGACATTCGGCGGGAAGGCCGCAAACTTTGCTATTGCATCGAGAGCAAGAGTAGCCTCCACAAGAAGGATTCGAATGGCATGCACATAGAGAAGGATGAGCCTCGACAGAACGAGACGGAAATCCCATCATCAAGAGGGAGCTTGCGGACTGCTTCTGGGAAAGTGTGGCCGGAGGGGTCGTGACACCCATTACCAATTCGCGAAAGTGCTGTTCGTTCAGTGCCACACCGTATGTGTTATCATCGCCATGATTTGTCTTGGAACAGAGCTCACGGCAGATGGCAACTTGAGCAGCGAGACCCACAATGCCAACACGGATTTTCTCGCTGACCAGAGTAGCTATGGTTCGGTGGATGTCACCCGGATCAGAGGATAACAGGGAGCCGAAGATGATTAGTACTTCACGGGTGCCGTGGGTTGGAGTGTGGCTGTTGAGCATAAGTTTAGTTCGTGGGCGCAGATCAGCCGTGCCAATGCTCTGGAGGATGAGAACGTACAAAAGAGCACCACGGGCCATTTCGAGCCCATTCTGTAGACTGGGAAGACCCTTCGGGTCATGGTCCCGTAGGTGTTGGATTGCACTGATGTGTTCAGTAGGATTTCCGCTCATGTCACTAACCCGTACTGCGAGGCCATCCCTCAAGCCAAGAACGCCCAGCTGAGAGATGGGGTTTTGTTCAAAGAATTCTCTTACGAACTCTTGGGCGTAGCGAAGGGACAGGAGATATCGCGTTGGCCTTAGATCCTTTTCGGCCATCGACTGTGACAAATCAAGGACCAGCATAAGATGGCGGATAATGCCTCGTTGTAGCGGTGTGGTGTCTCGTAGAAGTCTGCCAAGATGATGCCAATGTCAGCTTCACCATACCCTGGAATCATTATTCTTTTTCCTTTACGTGCATTAAGAGATTCAAGACTGAAGATTAATACCTCTTTCTTTTCCCAGCTTCTAGTAGTCCCTCTACTGTGGAGTTTATCGTGCCGTCTGCGCCTTCAACCAAACTTTCCCAGGTCCTCGAAACTTCCCATTCGGCGCCTCCACGGTTTCTCTTCCTCTTCGAACGTGACGGTTGGGCGGCTCCGCCTCGAGATGAACCTAGATTACCATCAACCTCATCCTCGGAGATTTCCCCTACATACTCTTCATCGGAATCGGCCATCGAGAGAATCGTAAGAGAGATGCGAGAGGAGGGTTGGAGACAAGATGAATGAACGTGAATTGAATATGCTTCAGAAGGTTGGCTTTAGCTGTTTTTGGGACTAGTCGATATGGTCACGGGTCCACGGTCACATACCTTTTATGCGGCTACATACTCCGTACTGTTACTGTTATAAAACGACACACTGTGGCTCGCACGCACGCATAGAAGTGGACTACTGATCGTACAATACGTACTGATCCTGCTTGTTACTTACCCATGGGATTAGGTAATAGATTCAATGTGGAGGATCGTTCTGCGTCCCGAAAAGGGTCCAAGCTCCGACGGAGCTCCGGTTGATGTCAATGATAATTGAATAATGCATGGATGGTCTTATGCCATTCATTCTACATGTTTGGACACGACTCGGCAACTCGAAAGCTTCTTTTACGTACAACACCCCCCTCGTCCCCGTCCTTTTCACTCCTCTATGAACGTGACGAACTGATAACCGTTTCAGGCTCCCGAGTCTCAGCCACTATTTTCCGTCGACGTCTTCAATTCACTGGACCTAGTTATGTATGTATGCCACCCAATCCCTGTATCAATACAGGTAAATGAGGTTTCGTGTCACTGATGCGCTGAAGATAGCCGTAGACCGATACGGGATCCCCATCTAGGCTTGTTTTAGATACAGATACTAGTATAAGTACTAGCATTAATGTGGGGGAGAAATTGTCGCATTAAGAGCACAGCTGCCACAGCGTCGCCAGCCAGGTGCACTGGTGTTAGAACTCGAGCATTCCGTGGAAGATTTCTGGTTCATCCGGTCCGACCACTTTCCCTCTACTGCCCCTCCTGCCCCTCCGTCTCCCCCTCTCCCCCTCCTTTCGCTTCCTCACCACGTTCCCGCCATCTTTCGATTCTTCCATTTTCCTCGCGCACACATTTGCTTCCTACCTCCATTTGTACTGGCCATTTACCCTCCTCCGCACGGTGTTGCTCCTCCGACTTTCGTACCCGCACAATGGTATCAAAAGACAGGGACATTCTTCCGGACGTGTGAGTTACAGACCGTGACGGACTTGCTGTACCCGATAACCTCAGTCCTAATTAAAAGCTTGATAGGGCCAAGCCAGTTCATTACGATGTGTCTCTCTTTGATCTACAGTTCGGTGATTCCTGGGGTTACAAGGGTATCGTCAAGGTCAATGCCAGAGTCACCCGCCCCACGAAGGAGATTGTGCTCAATTCCAAAGAAATTGAGGTTCAGAAGGTCGAGGTCCATGGAGAAGATGGTCTGTTGAACTGACACCTGCCTGCAAATGGCTTCTTTCACAATTGGTACCATTTGGCATGATATTGACAGCCTGCGATAGGAACCAAGCTCTTGGAAGCATCAGATATCGTCTACGATAAAACCTCAGAACGTGTGGCTTTCAAATTTCCGTCGGAGATTGCGCCCTCTAATATTCTCCTCTCGGTCAATTTCACCGGAATTATGAACAATGCCATGGCCGGGTTCTACCGCTCTAAATACACCCCCGTCGTGGAACCCGCCGGAGATACCCCCAAAGAAGGCGACTTCCACTACATGTTGAGCACTCAGTTCGAATCTTGCGACGCGCGTCGAGCGTTTCCATGCTTTGACGAACCGAACCTGAAAGCCACTTTCGATTTCGAGATCGAGGTACCCAACGGCCAAATTGCCTTGAGCAACATGCCCATCAAAGATGAGAGAGATGGACATACCCCGGGCCGCAAAGTCGTTTCCTTCGAGAGAACTCCTGTCATGAGCACCTATGTGAGTCTTCCCAGAACTTTCGTTGTGTAATTTCTCTAAACATATAATCCAGCTTCTGGCATGGGCTGTTGGCGATTTCGAATACGTGGAGGCGATGACCCAGCGTAAATATCAGGGAAAGAGTATACCAGTCCGTGTCTATACTACAAGAGGTCTGAAAGAGCAAGCTCGATTTGCTTTGGAATGTGCTCATCGCACCGTTGACTACTTTTCCGAGATCTTCGAGATAGAGTATCCCTTGCCTAAGGCAGATCTTCTTGCCGTCCATGAATTTGTGAGTTACTCTTCTAAATCTTTCAATGACGTTGAATAGGCACGCTGATGCTGCGTAGGCCATGGGTGCCATGGAAAATTGGGGACTGGTAACCTACCGAACTACTGCTGTTCTGTTTGAAGAGGGCAAGTCCGATACCCGTTACAAGAATCGCATTGCCTATGTAGTCGCTCACGGTGAGTCGCTAGTTCCCGCAGCACTGCGAACATAGGTCTGACATCTTTTGCCTCAGAATTGGCCCACCAATGGTTCGGCAACCTCGTCACGATGGATTGGTGGAACGAGCTATGGCTTAACGAAGGGTTCGCAACCTGGGTCGGTTGGCTTGCTGTAGATCACTTCTACCCTGGTAAGTTCTCACTAAAGCGTGTCCATGGCCAAATAGAACTTAGTTGACACACATGCAGAATGGAATATCTGGTCTCAGTTTGTTGTGCGCAATTCCCGAGGTAATCCCGAGTGTTCAGTTCCATGTTGACCTGCGCACAGGCTGAAGGTGTCCAACAAGCTTTCCAGCTCGACTCTTTGCGAGCATCACATCCGATTGAGGTACCTGTTCGCAACGCTCTCGAAGTGGACCAGATTTTCGATCACATAAGCTATCTCAAGGGAAGCTCGGTCATCCGCATGCTAAGTGATCATCTCGGCCGGGAAACTTTCTTACGCGGGGTAGCCGCTTATCTCAAAGCTCACGCATACGGCAAGTTGGCAGTGACGACAATTTTTGCAATCATTGGGTTACTGACAATGAATCTGTTCAGGAAATGCTACCACAAATGACCTATGGTCGGCTCTTAGTGAAGCATCTAACCAGGATGTCACTAGCTTCATGGTAAGTTTCTCAAATTCGTCTTCTGACAAGTAGAACTGACAGCATGGTGAAGGATCCTTGGATACGCAAAATCGGTTTCCCGGTGGTCACTGTCACGGAGGAGCCGGGCCGAATCAACATCCGGCAAAATCGCTTTCTCTCGACGGGTGATGCCAAACCAGAGGAGGACGAAACGACATGGTGGATCCCCCTTGGAATCAAGTCGGAACCGGAGGTGACCAACACACGTACTGGCGCTCTGGTGTCTAGATCAGACTCAATCGCCGGTGTTGGCCAGGGATCTTTTTACAAGATAAACAAGAATCTCTCTGGGTTCTACCGTACTAGCTATCCTGCTGATCACTTGGCTAAACTTGGCCAGTCCTTACATTCCTTGAGTACTGAGGACAAGATTGGCCTTATCGGCGATGCGGCTGCCCTTGCCGTTTCCGGCAATGGTACCACTGCCGCTCTATTAGCCCTATTGAGCGGTTTCAAGGAAGAGAAAAATTATCTGTTAGTATCCCCATGAACCTAAATAGTGCGTCTCATGTGTGCGAAAGATTTCTAAAAACGATCGCATCCTAGTGTTTGGTCTCAAATCTCAACTTCCGTCGCAAATCTACGTTCTGTATTTGCCCAGAACGATTTAGTGGCGTCAGGGTTGAAGAAATTTACTCTGGAATTGGTCTCACCCGCTGCTGAAAGAATTGGGTGGGACTTCAAGCCGGATGATGATTATCTTACTGTACAGCTCCGCAAGCTTCTGGTTGGAATGGCATGCCATGCTGGCCATAAAAGGTAAGTTGGCTTGAGATTCATGATCGCGGAAGAGAGCTTCACTAACGGTTGGATTTAGCATGATTTCCGAGGCTACCCGACGCTTCAAACTTTGGAGCACTGCTAGAGATAAAAATGCTGTGCATACCAATTTACGTTCTGTTATCTTTGGTGTTGCAGTCTCGGAGGGCGCTGATCAAGCGTACGAGTCTGTAAAGGGAGAATATTTGAAAACAGATTCTGTCGACGGCAAAGAGATTTGCTTAGGAGCTCTCGGACGGACGAAGAACCCTGATCTGGTTACTGACTATCTCAATTTTGTCTTCTCGGACAAGGTTGCTATCCAGGACATACACAACGGCGCTGTCTCACTCGCTTCAAACTCAAGCTCTCGCCATCTGCTCTGGGAATACATGAAAGCGCACTGGGGCATGGTTGAGTCTCGTCTGTCGACAAACAATGTTGTCTTCGAGCGCTTTGTGCGCATGGGACTCGCCAAGTTTGCGGATCACACCATTGAAGCCGATATTTCCGCATTCTTCAAGGATAAGGATACAAGTGCTTATGATCGCGCTCTGGTCATTGTGGCTGATAGCATCCGCACAAATGTGCATTATAAAGAGAGAGAAGAAATTCCGGTCCTAGAGTGGCTCCGGGCTCACGGATATGCTTGATTGTTCAGGATCGGCGGTTGTGGTTCGTGTGTAGTTAGTTGCCTCCTGATGCAGGCCTGCGTCGCTATGATAATCACTTGAGCAACACCTAGTGAGACTTAGAGTAGGGTTCGTGACATGAGAATGAGAAGGTCATTTGCGCGAAGCTACGAATGATGAGCCGACCTCGAGCCTCGAGTTGACGGGTACCCTTGCAGACTGTCATTCACCGGCGTGACTAGCCCTAGTGGTATCAAGAAGGACTTGCTGTACCCGTGACACATTCTGCAGAGCGCGTCGCTGGAAAGTTGATCATGTAGTAAAGATAGGCAACTAAGGTAGGTAGCTTACTGGTAGTGTAGGTAAGATGATCTGCCTCCAGGCTGTACAGTGCCAGTGCAAAGCCCGATTGGTGTGCGTGGGCTCGAGGTAGGTAGGTGGGTCAGTTTGCCCAGTGGTGTGAAACGGTCGTTCCCAGATCAGAAGCCCGCCCACTCGCCCGCTGGAACCTGCGCGTTGGGCTCCCCTGCCTTCCTGCAGTCAGCAACGCAACAACCGCCATTTCCAAGAGACCGACCGCCTGGTCACTCAGCTAAATAGACACTCCGAGCATCAATTACAATCACAGCTTGCTGCCGCCCTCACATCTTTCCCTTCGTTCAACGTGTCCAGCCTGCTTAGAAACATCCCTCAAAACCTCTTCTGAGCCTCCGAGCACCTACAAATATTTACACAGACCCAAACTACCTCCCTCCATCATGAACCCTGAGTTGTAAGTGCCTTGATCCGCTTGTAATAGGCCCCGTGCACCTCATCCGGGCGTGTGCTGCTGCATCGGTCACCGCAGACTCTGTTATCCCGTCTTGTCTCCCTTGCAATCCCTCGACCTCTTCTCTTTCAGCCGCCCGTCACCTTGCTAACGTTGTGTGTTTGTTTAGAGTTGCCCCGATCTCTTCCCTCCGCAAATGGCGAGAACGAGGATGAACTGCACGGCTTCTCATCCGTAGTCAAACTAACGAAATACTTAGATACGATTACCTCTTCAAGCTTCTCCTCATCGGAGATTCTGGTGTTGGAAAGTCCTGCCTCCTTCTTCGATTTGCCGATGATACCTACACGGAAAGCTACATCTCCACCATCGGTGTGGATTTTGTGAGTCTTGCCGAACCCAGGGTCTTCTTTCGCACGGCCCTTTCGTCGACCGACTTGCTGACAGATTCCCCAAAGAAAATTCGTACCATCGAACTTGACGGAAAGACAGTGAAACTCCAAATCGTAAGGATGTCGGGATCGCGATCGGATGATTTGGAATCACTAACAATTTCTCAGTGGGATACTGCGGGTCAGGAGCGTTTCAGAACTATCACGTCTTCTTACTACCGTGGTGCTCATGGCATTTGCGTTGTCTACGACGTGACTGACATGGACTCTTTCAATAACGTCAAGCAGTGGCTTCAGGAAATCGACCGCTATGCTACTGAAGGCGTCAACAAGTTGCTTGTGGGTAACAAAAGCGATATGGAAGACAAGAAGGTTGTGGAATACACGGTGGCCAAGGTGCGTGTTCATAATCGCTGTCCTTTCTTGGCTATGCGGTCAGCGGCTGACCGAAGATGTGACTGCTACAGGAGTTCGCGGACAGCCTGGGAATCCCTTTCTTGGAAACTTCAGCTAAGAACGCCTCAAATGTTGAACAAGCTTTCTTGACGATGGCTAGACAGATTAAAGAGCGCATGGGAACTGCCACCGTTAACAACAAGCCTACCGTGCAAGTCGGTCAAGGCCAGGGAGTTCAGTCTGGCTCTTCTGGCGGCTGTTGCTAGGCGACTATTCCAAGTGCCATCCTTCGAACTACTGGGCGGGAGAAGGAAAATTTAGGAGTTAAGGAGACGAGCTATGGGAAAGATGTACCGGCTGCGCCCCATTGCTGGCTGTCTTCTTGATGCTGGCGTGGTTACAGATTCTTCATGCTGGGATGATCATAGGACTAGTTTCATTTTTCATGCTTTAGAGGGCTTGCGTTTTGTCTTTATACACTGTCACACCACAGATGTGCTATTCTTCATCCTCGCCTGCTTTCTGTTAATTTCCCTCTTTGTTCTCCCCTGCCTAGGTCTCGATTTACTTCCTTTGTTCTTTGTTTCTTGCCTTTATTCCGCTGGTTCCCATTCATAATCTTCTCGATTTTCTACCTCCTCCTCACTAGTGTCTTTTTTCTTAAGTATTTCACTGATTGATCTCTCTTCTAGTAAGTTGGATTGTTTTGCCTTGTTTAGTCAGTTGGGGCCCATAAGTCAATGCAGAAAGACAGTGAATTCTGGAGCCGGAACGTCTAGTGAGGGGAGTAGATCGTTGTCGATACAGTACCCCTCCTCATTCTCATTACTCTCATCTAGGTATATGCGTGATACACCCTCCTACTACTACTTTCCTCACGAGCACGAATGAGTGGCACCCCACATGTGGAAGGATTGGGTGGTCGGGTACCGCAGGGAGGGAATGTCACATGCGAAATTGACTCTTCCGCGCCAGCTTACTAAGGTGCTGAGGGAGTCGCAGCTTCACTGGCATTAACATAACATTGTTACCTAGGTCGAAAGGAACATGATCTGACTCCTTGATCTCGACTGGTCTCTCTCTTTCTTTCCTTTTTCAAATCGAGTCGGTCCAGCCATAATCCATGCAAGAGCCCTAGTAAGAGAACTTGCATGAGATGTTGCCCAGGTGTAACATAACTATATCTATCATCCACGATAACGATAACACGTAAGCGTAACACAGGCATGCCAATACATCTAGGGACATCAGGGTAGGGTACCAGTTCGCTAGAGCACCTTTCGGTGGCTGTCTGCTAAAGTCTGGTTGATATCGCTGCGGTCAAGGGGTTACCTTCGGTGAAGGCGCGACCGTTCCGAAAACGCACGATCAGCAAAGGAGGAGGGGGAACATTTTGGAGGGCATTTATCAGCCGAGGCTCAAATTTCGGTAAACGTCATGAGCATCGTTGCCTTTCTCCTTGAGCCGAGTCATTCTCGCGTCCGCTGGCTACATATCTCGGTGTCTTAAAGATTGATTCTTGCAACTTCTCCTTTCTACCCCTTCCCATGGTACGATTAGTTTCTTCGACACCCTGCAACTTTCTTGGCTTTATTGTTTCATGCAACCATTCCCCTTCATCCCCTAGTTTTCTTGGTTCGATCAAAAGGGGTTTGCTCTCTTATGCTCGCCTACCTATACTTGTGGTGTTCCAACCCCTCTTGACTGCTTTCCCTGGAAGAAGATCTAGACTTGCTTCAGTTTGGGCGCAGTGTCGAGAGTTCTGTACCCAATGTCTCGAGCGAGTTTCTTGGATGAGAAGAAGGCCGTGGCAGCATCCGCTGCCGTGCAACAGAGCGATAACATAGCGCATGCATTGGCTGGCGCTGGAGGTGGTATTCTCTCGATGGTGTTGACGTAGGTATTGCTTTCTGAGCGGCTGAGTTTCTGTTAATGTGGTCTCCCCCGAAGGTATCCACTCATCACTCTCTCAACAAGAGCACAGGTTGAATCAAAGCGTGCCCAATCAACCACTTATGATGCAGTTCGTCGCATCGTCCGGAGAGAAGGGATTGCCGGGCTCTATTCGGGCCTTGAGTCAGCACTCTTCGGTATTAGTGTCACCAATTTCGTTTACTACTATTGGTACGAATGGACGCGCTCGGCCTTCGAGAAGGCGGCCGCAAAGGCAGGAAGGGCGTCCAAGAAACTCACAACCATCGAGTCCATGATTGCCGGGGCTATTGCCGGGATCGCAACAGTCATGATAACCAATCCGATCTGGGTAGTGAACACCAGAATGACAGCCCGCAAGTCTGACTCGGATCAAGAATCATTGCCTGGTGCTCCCAGCGCAAAGAAGCGAGCGTCGACAATTGCTACTCTTATGGACTTGCTTCGCCGTGAGGGCCCCAAAGCCCTCTTTGCTGGCGTCCTACCTGCCCTCATCTTGGTGATCAACCCTATTTTGCAATACACAATCTTCGAACAATTGAAAAACATCGTCGAGCGCCGCAGACGTATGACTCCCAAGGATGCGTTCTACCTGGGTGCCCTTGGTAAAATTCTCGCTACTTCAATCACGTACCCCTACATTACGGTCAAAAGCCGCATGCATGTTGCTAGTAAAGACGGACCCAATGAGAGCTTGAACGGGAGTTTGAAGAGGATCATCGAGGAAGAGGGTTATGTTGGCTTGTACAAAGGCAAGTTCATTCGAATGGACCGGTCTTTGTTGATAAAGAAGCTTACACTGCCAAACAGGAATTGGGCCGAAGGTGACGCAGAGTGCAATTACTGCAGCATTCTTGTTTGGATTTAAGGACGTTTTATACGAGGCTATGGTATCCATCCGAAAGAGAGGTCGCGGAAGCTCGGTGTAAAGAATGCTGTGTCGCTACGTGCAGGCTGTTCCGGTAGTCCGAGATGGATGGTCAACCAATGCTTGCAATTGTGTTGTTCTATTGGGTATCCTGACTTGGTCTCTTAAATTCCCCTTGGTAGATGAGTTCTCCCATGATGTATGACATAGCGAACTGGATCGAGCTATCGATCATGGGCAAGTGTCTATTGTTCTTAATTGTTACCGCCCGCCTTTGGCGCATATATGATGCCAATCTCCGATTATCCGCAATGACATCACGTGGCTGAGCAGCGCCACGGGGCGATGCCCATGGGAGTCAAGTATCGCTCGACGTATATAATCCTTTCCCTCTTCACTCACGCTTATGAGGAAAGTCCATACGACAATCTTTTCTTCCGCAAAGTGAAATTCAAAGGTCGGATCAGAGCTTCTTGATACCTAAAGGTCTTTCTCTCCGGAGCGAAGAAAAGATACCTCTCTATTTATATCATTTATGTCATTTGCCCCGCCACCCGGCCCTCCCACTCCTTCTGTTCCCGAAGGATGGAAGGCCCAATTTGATGACCGTTATAAGCAATGGTTTGCATTTGTCCAACTCACCTGATGATCATTATAGCGGGTAGACTGACATTGATCCCAGGTTTTTTGTAAACCTCCGAACTGGTCGGTCACAATGGGAGCGTCCCCAGGGACCGCCCCAAGCAGATGCAGGAATACATGGACCGCCGAGCGAGCCGCCACCATCCTATGACGCCTCGGGTCCCGCCGAACCCTCTACGCTGGCTGCTGCCAGTGACAAGAAATTTCTCGGCTCGGCAAACCCGTACAATTCATCGGGATCTGGAAACCATACTCTAGATGGCGACGCTCGACTCGCTGCTCAATTACAGGCAGAGGAAGATGCCCGTGCTCGCCATAGAAGCCCAGCACCTGGTGGTGCGGCAAGTGGTGCTGCAAATGAGTACTACACTGAGAGCTCGCGGAGGCAGGCTGCTGGATATCATTCACCTGATCCTCAGTCGCAGAGCTCTTCTCCCGGACCGACTCAGCAGCGTAGCCGAGGATTCTTAAGCAAGCTAAAGGGGAAGGTCGCCGGTAGCAGCGGGGCGTCTTCTGCTCGGCCACCGCAACCCATACCGCAGCAGTACCCCCAAGGCGGGCACTATTATGGGGGAGGCGGTGGTGGATATCCTCCGCAACAGGCGGCGTATGGGTATCCATCATACCCGGCGCAAGGTGACTATTACCCATACCAGCAACAGCCGCAACAGCGACGGCATGGGATGGGCACCGCGGGGGCCGCAGCTTTAGGTGTCGGCGGTGGACTTCTAGGTGGTATGCTGCTCGCTGATGCCGTGGAAGACATGTCACACGATTATGACTCACCCCCCGGTGATTATGGGGATGATTATGGTGGTGACTTTGGTGGTGGTGATGACTTTGGTGATTTTTAAGTTGTTTCCTGAAGTTTGCCATTTCTCTGAAGTGGTTTGTTCTTGAAGAACATGTTTAGACCCCCCCTATTTTCGGGTTGCATACGACCGTTATGAACCACTTATGTGTCCTGATGATCTATACATTTTGATAATTTCACTTGTGTTATCTTCGAAATCTCGCGTTCAAGAACCACTCTTGTTTGTCACAATGCCGGCCCATGTTTGATGTTGGAAGATTGCCCACGCCTTAAGTACAAACTCACCTTTCTCGGGTGGGGAGAAATGTGGAAGGCTATAACTTTGAGTCGAATCGTAGTACTATCTCCTGCAGTAAGGCTTCACTATCTTCAAATGATCTCTATAAGTGAGGAAAAACCTAAATGATCCGTTGTTGAGGCAAATCTTGTGCTTTTCTAGACATGAATCCATGTCTTCTTCTCAAGGGTTCCTTCCTTGTTTGGGTAGAAAGTTCTGATGAAATCTATTTTACACCAAGTCTAAACCTTCATGCTATAGTGGCCAAAGTGGGCAAGTAGTAGACGATAGAGATTTATGAATAGGAAGTTTCAGCGCGACGCAAGGTCGTTCGTGGGGCGAGGATGACAGATGGCAGCATTATAGCATTACGCGCAGGTCAATTGACACGAGGATGAGTACATATTCACCGGACAAAAGGTTCACAGTCAGATACGCTCGTTGCGTTCTTTCAAACCAGCCTTTCCACACCTCACACTGCAGGACTTTCCCACCTAACCCCTTCTACGCGATGCAACCCCTGTATCCCTGCCCGATGCAGCAACCCCTTCAGTGCCAGGTGCGGGCCTGGGAGTGGCCCCGGCCATCCATCCCGCCAAATCGAATTTGCCGGACGCCGCACCGCCGGTCATGGCGTTGCGTGTTGCGCCCGTAATCGGGGAGGAGCGAGATTGTTTCTCGAATTCGGCACGCATCTCAGGATCCACTAGAGTGCGCGAGCACACAACACAGTCAATAGACGATAAATGGGTCTCATTGGGGCAGAAACACGGAAGGAGCCGACAGGTTCGGTGTAGCTAAACATCTTGCGCAAGACGAATCCAAAGCACCCGCGATTCGTCTTCGAAACCTCATTTTTCACTCTCGTGCCAGAAGCAGGGGAAAAAGGACATCGAATAAGTGTTGGGTGGGCCGGGGGGTGGGGGGCGGTTTGGTTTTTAAAACATTCGGGGGAAAAGAGAGAAGTCACTTACTGTTCTCCATCAACTTTGGCATGCCGAAGGTAAACCCCAGAGCAACTAAAGCTAGTAGGATCATAGGATTCTTGAATAGCGATAGAGGTGAGACTAGTGAGTTGAGACAAATGGTCAGCTATGTTTCGCTCCACCTAACGTGTGATGACGAGAGGTTTTCATTTTATTCGTTCTTTCTTTCTTTCTTTCTTTCTTTCTTTCTTTCTTTCTTTCTTTCTTTCTTTCTTTCTTTCTTTCTTTCTTTCTTTCTTTCTTTCTTTCTTTCTTTCTTTCTTTCTTTCTTTCCTTTCCCTCCCAAGGAGTTTGGATAGAGCATACAGCGGGGGCGTTCCTCGTAAAAGTTTCTTCTTGCCAAAACTCGGGCCTCAATGGTCACGTCAGGGGTGGCCATGATGGAGTGCCCTCCACTCTGCTCGGCAGCAATAGTGGCGTCGAGAATGTACTTCTCCGGGCCACGGTTGTCCCAAGGATTGGCTCGGAAAGTCTCCCAGATGCCGAGAATGCTGCCATCGGTTGCAACATCGACGCGGTATGGAGCAAAGATGAAGTCGGAGGAGCGAATGTCAAGCAGATAGGACTGGGCTTTCAATTGGGTTGGGAGCTCGGCGAAGACAAAGGTCGCGGAGCGGGTGAGGGATGCGATGAGTTGAGAGGGCGAGGGTGAGGATGGCAGCGTGGTCAGAGTCGCATGAGATCCAGCGGGAAGAGCGTGAGGATTGGGGAGCAGATTCGAGGAGGGGATAGTGATCGTGAGGGCTGAAAACACCAACACTGGTGCAGACAGCAAGATGAAGAAGAACCGCACAGTAGAGCTGGTGACTAGGCGCATATTGGCAGTCGTTGGCTTGAAGGGGAAGGAGTGAGAAAAGGTAAGTTGGGGTCGGAACGGATTGCGGAAAGATTACAGATGATGTCGTATCGACAAGCTCCAGTGCCAAGCCTTATTTCGAATGGCTGTGATATCTTGTTGTCACACCGCACACGTAGGTTAACACCTAGTTCTAGCTCCTGAACTGTTGTTACAGGTCCCTTTATTTCATGGGTATATGAAGACAAGTCATAGACCCTCTGTTTATGCTGTGGTGTACATGAAAGAAGATTCCAGCCCAGCCCGATCAATCCTTAAATCTGTACTCGAAGGCTCAGCCTTGGATTCGAGTATCACGAAAGTGCTAAATTACAGGGAGAATCGAAGAAGACTGGAAATGTATATACACGGTGGCTTCAGGAGGTTGACTGGCCAGCATATTCTCCCTAAGTCCCCCACACAAAAAGATCTTGAGGTCAATACCTCTTTAAAGCTTGGCCTTAGGAGCGGCCTCCTCAGCTAACGCTTTGGTGTACAAGTCATCCAGGAGCTGGCGGTATTTCTTCACAGCTGGGGGCCGTTTCAGCTTCAGCCTAAAGGATCAAGAAGTTTAGTTCAACTTGCTCAGCATGGAAAGGGAGAATTGCGATTCAACTCACGTTGGCGTCAGTAAATTGTTCTCGACCGTGAACGGGTCAAGCATTAGTGCACAATTCTTGATCTTCTCATACCCGGCAAGTTTGTGCTTTTTTGCAACGCGGTCCAGATCTCGCAACACCGCGCGGCGTATTTGAGGTTCGTCCAAAGTCGATTTGATGCTTTCAATGTCCGTGGCCTCGATGCTTCGGCGGAGCACTTTGCTGGCCCACGGAGCATATGACTCAGGTTGCACGCCGAAAATGCCCACCAAGAAAGTCTGCACACTATCGCCATGAACATAGCCCTGCGCAAAGTAGCCCAGCTCAGACAAATACACGCCCTCTAGCCGCTCAGGGGAAATGTATTCTCCTTGTGCCAGCTTCAGGACGTTCTTGCGACGGTCAATAATGACTATCCGGCCCATATCGTCAATGGTACAAACATCGCCGGTCCGGAACCATCCATCCTCAGTCATCGCCTTGGATGTTTCCTCGGGATTCTTGTAGTATTCGCGGAAAACATTCCCCCCCCGCAGTAGCAGTTCACCCCGGGGGAAAGGCTTATCATCGACCGAGTAATCCATATCCGGAAGAGAGACTAGGCAGGCTTCGTTGCATGGGGCGAGCCGCCCACAATTTCCAGCAGTCAGATCTCGGGGAGACTGCGCGCATGCAATCGCGTAGGTTTCGGTTAGCCCGTAACCCTGGATAATATCAGTGCCGGTAGCAACCCTCAAGAACTGGTGAAGGGTCGGGTCCAAAGGAGCAGATCCAGAGACCATCACTCTAGTACGCTCGAGACCAAGCGCTGCCGACACCTTTCTCGACCAGATGCGATCATACAACGCATGCTTTATTGTAGCTTTGCTGGGGTCAGGATTTTCCAGGTTTGCAGTCTTCGCGGCGACAACATGTCTCGACAAAGCCCCTTTGAAGCCAGGGTGATCCACAGTGGCTGAGCGAATGACGTTTCCGAAGCGACTGAACAGTCTCGGAACGGACATGAATCCAGTAGGCTTAAGGACCTTGAGGTCATCGACGAGCTCCAACATATTTCCATGGAAGTAGCCGATCCTAGCCCCCGCCCAGAACGCTGCATGCTCCGACAACCGAGCGTAGATATGAGCTAGAGGAAGATAGGACGCTAAAGTGTCACCAGGAGCTTGCGTGGTGACGACGAGGGCGCTTGAAGTTGCTGCAACGGTATTTTCATGAGTCAAAACCACTCCTTTTGGATTACCTGTAGTTCCAGACGTATAGTTGATGGTGACAATATCGGATGGGCTAGGGGGATTGCAGGTACGCTTTGACAGAGTTCCAAGCTCTTCCACTTCATCAATCGTATAGATAGACACTTCTAAGCCAGCCGCAACCGATTCGAGAATGGCGCGCTTAGAAAGATCGGCTGGTTCCCCTGCGTCCAAAGGATCCATGCTGACAATGATCTTCAAACTAGGTAGCATCGGCTTTAATCTGAGCAAGGTCGGAATATGAGGCAAAGAGGTCACGACACAGTGCAGTTCGGCGTGGTTAATGATATACTCCGTTGCGTCTGCTGCGAGAACATCATAGATGGAGACCGAGTACAGACTTTGCGACATGCAGGCAAGATCTGCGGCCACGAATATTAGCGGCTATTATGTGCAAACATTCGACGGTGCCACCATACCAGTCAGTTGCCACTCTGGCCGGTTCTGGGACCACAAACCAACACCATACTGGCCGGAGCGATGGCAGTCATGTTTGTGATGCAATTCGACCAGACCAGCACCAAAGGCGGTACGTCGCTTCTGAACCGTCTCATAATCCAACCATTGATACGGACCGTAAGCCTTGGTCACCGGATCAAACGGGCGCCATCCCAAGCAGTGACTCTTGGGCACTCTATTGGCGGTCGACTCGAATATATCATGCGCAGTGGCGACCTGGGAAAATGGAAGCCAGTTAGGGAACAACCGCGCTGCGATGTTTGTGTCTGGTGAAATTTGCGAGCGAGCATACCTTCGGATCCAGAGTGTTCACTAGCTCTTTTGCTGAGTTCCAGGCCCGATAGACTGGAGAGCGCCCTGGCTTTTCCGTGCCGGGTAAGGCGATGCTATACGGCTTACCTTTAGGGGGCTCCTGCTGTAGCTCGGTAGCGCGCTGAAGATGGATGGGTAGTTGGGAGAAGAACATTGCGGCGACGTGGGCGACTTATCGCTTGCGATCGAGTTAATAGGCAGCACAAAAGGCAGGCGAATCCGAGAAGACACCGATGCTCTTCCTAGGTCTAGGTTTCACGAGACGGTACCTTAGGCCTGATCAAGTGACTATGCCCCCGACCCAATGGTAAACTCGGCACTTTGTTTGTCAGGAGCAGAGGACACAGTATGCATGTGTGACAATGTGAGGAGGGTGAATGCGCAAGCTTGTCCCCGGGGAATTATCTCCGCCGAAGGAGGACAGGGAGGTTGATATGAGGCCGAGAATAGGGTGGGGGAGTGGCGGACGGAGAGACGGCTAGGCAAAACAGGGAGGAAATGCAAGGAGTAGTAAGAGATTCTGACAAGATAAGACAGAAAAGTGTCGGGAAGAAGAGCAGGGAGGAGAAGGAGAAGGAGAAGGGGAGGGGGAATGCCTCCATCTCTTGTGCCCCAGAAGAGGGTCTCTCCCCTTGGCGGTTTCTCCGGAATTCAACCAGAGACCCGGGCTCTAACTGGTCGACCCGGCTTCCCCTCTCGCCACGCGACGTCAAATCGCCCGCGTGCCTCGGCACTTGCTCTTTTCGGCCATCTATCGCGCCCGCCGGCGGGCACCGGCGGCCGTTTCCATTTCGAAGTTACGTCGATCAATTAGCTTCCACTGTTTTGATTTATAGGTCACATTATAGTGGCTCGACTTTGACAACCTCGGTAAATTGTGAAATGGAGGACGATTGTTCATACCATTGCGCATACTGGTGAATCTATGGATAAGGAGAGACTGCTGTACAGTAAGTACAAGTAGTAGGAAGTCTTCCACTAACCAAGCTGCCCGCCGAAGCAGTCCATCCTAGCCAAGTTTCATGCCCATTCACTTCTTCAAATGATTAGGCCAATCATTATGGAACGGAGTTCGGGTTGTGGGAGTCGCCCTCGTGATGTGTGAGTGAATCTCTTGTTCACTTCTCACATGCTTTGCCAATGCCAACACACCGCTCCAAAGGAAGGATGTCAGGCGGAAAACTCCATCATCCACGACCACCAGCAGAAGCTCGGTTCCAAACATGAATACTGTTCCGTCCGTCTCCTGGCACGTGGACCTGCATGTGAACCACGGGCATTGATGTTGCTCGTATACATCATTGGTGTAGATCTCTGCTAGCGAAGGAATGCCTGCCATTTAGTTGCACGGAAGAGTCACGATAGCAGGAGCCTTATTCCATGTGGTCCTGAGCTTATTTATATTGAGTGATTGTATATGGTGAACAGCAAACGACAGCATATAGGTGTAAAAATATTCATTAGGAAATTTATACATCAATGAGCAAGAATCTTGCACCCAACGCCATGTCAAATCTGACATCCCAACGAACAAATGTATATATTGTACAAATAAGTCTGCAGAATGCCCCCCAAGGGCCGAGTAGCAGAGGCTCCCCAACCGCCTTTCAACTTTCGTCCATCATAGCTCGTAAAAAGCCGCCTCTCATCCCAATGCAATCGGTACTCCTGATGAATGTGTATGTGCATGAAACTCTCCAATATGTATGTGCCAGGCTCAATTAACAGGCAAGAAAGAAAGAAAAAGCCAATCTGGGAATACTATGACCAACGAGCACGCAATGAGAAGGGCGTCCATGGGCGGGAAGCCTCGAGATCGGTGTTGGTCCCCGAAGACGCCTTCGAGCCCCGGCTTATCCTAGCACTGCATGAAAAGCCTTCTTATACCACTTGCTGGATGTTGGTGCAGATGTCTCCCATGTCTCGTTTTCGAACTCCAACCGACCCGTGTCAATGTCAGCTTCGAGCGGGTGGACGAAAGAAGTCCTGTAAACGATTTTATGACCGACATAGAGTACCACGAAAAGGATCAGACTGATATAAGCCGTGAAAAAGCTCCGGACGTCGAAAGAAGGGATCCATGCGGTGAATCCTTGGGTGATAATGATGAGAACGTTGAAGAACAGTCCATACCAGGAATAGTACGGTTGCCACAAGGCCTTATACGGGAGACAATCGCGAGAGATATTCCGGGCCTTCAGAGCACGCATGAATGCAAGATGGCAGCCATTCAGGGAGGCCCAGGTGATGAAGCCTGCCACACCAGCGATGTTGACCAGCCAATTGAAAACAGTACTGCCAGAATTGGAAACATTCATGAAACCAAGCAAACCGAAAGCCGAAGTGAACGCGACACTGAAAAATGGCACACCTTTCTTCGACGTTTTCTTGAACCAACGAGGAGCAAAGCCCTCCTGTGCCAAGCCAATTAAGATACGGCTGCCACTGTACACATTCGAGTTGGCAGCCGAAAGAACCACAGTCAGCAAGACTGCGTTGATGATATGTGGTAGTACATGGACACCCGCAAGTTTAGCAGCGATGACGAACGGCGAAGAGTTTGCGTCATTACCATCTGTGAGAAGGTCGTCGTTCGTGTATGGCACAAGGATCCCGATAAAGAAAATCGTGAGAACGAAAAAGAACAGGATCCGGTAGAAGGTCTTGCGGATAGCGGATGGCACAGTTTCGCGGGGGTTCTCGGTTTCCGCGGCTGCAATACCCACTAACTCTGTTCCTTGATAGGCGAACCCGGCTTGAATGAGGACAGACCAAAATCCAACGAACTTGGCAGTTGAATCGGGAGAGACGCCGCTGTAGGGAGAGAACGGTCCGGGATGAACCCAGTAACGGAAGCCTAGGTAGCCATCCTTGCCAGCCCCAGCATCAATGCAAATCGCGAAGATCATGAAGCCGACGACTGTGATGACCTTGACGCTTGAGAACCAGAATTCCAGTTCGCCATAGAAGCTGACAGGCAGAAAATTCAGGAGCGTGATGACAACCCAGAAGATGGCGATGAAGATGGCGATATTTATGCTATCGTCCCAGAATTGAATAATAAGTCCCGTTGCTGTTAACTCAAGCGCAAATGTCGAAGCCCAAGAAAACCAGTAAATCCAACCCATGGCAAAGCCGAGACTGGGATCAACCAAACGAGCAGCGTAAGCCGTAAAGGCTCCCGGGATCGGAATGTAAGTTGCGATCTCTCCTAGAGACGTCATGACCGAATAAACAATCGTACCGACGAAGGCATAAGCGATGAGCGCTCCCACAGGTCCGCCATGGGCGACAGCGGTACCACTACCGATGAAGAGACCTGTGCCAATTGTACCTCCTGGAACTGAAATTAGTCTACGTTCTCTGTTGCTTCGTCGATGGATAGAGCAGTCGTGCTGCGCGGGTAAAGAGAGGATGGTTGGCTCGGGGATGGAACCACCAACGGTCACTAACCGATAGCGATCATTTGCAAATGTCGGCTTCTCAGCTTTCGCTTGAGCTGGGGAAGCGGGTTCGACTCGCTGTTGGCGCCATGCTTCTCGCAATCGAAATCATTCAAGTCCGGCGAAGGGTTCGTCGTATGAACTTGGACCGATTCCTCGCCAGGCATCATTTTTCCCTTTCCCCCTTCAGCGGACTTGGACGTGATGTCGACCTCGTTCCCGAAGGCCATGTTCGACCCTCGACGTTGCCGGTACTGGAGGTTCGCTCGTGCCTTGCTTGGGAATGGGCAGGCCGGCAGTATCGTCGGTCGGTCAAAAGAGTCAAGAAAACAAGGCGAAGGGCAGAGATGAGACTAGGTTCGGAGGCGGCAAGGGAAGAAGACGAGAAAAATGAACGGCAACCACCAGGGCAGACCAGACTCCACCGGCAAGACGGGTTTGGGTTGATTTAATTGAGTCACCTCAAGGCTGGGTCGGGTCCTGCAAGAGCAGTTTTTAACAGTGGACTCCTCAGTTGTCGGACCACCGAAATCCACCAACGCTAGGATGAAATCAAGCCAACCTCTCAGGGCCCAACAATCGACTAGATAAGAGACCAAGGGGTGTGACGACTTTGGCCGAGATAGCGAAAATAATCGAATTGTGTTTCGCGGAACCAGAAGATGTTATGTAAAAGGAATGGGTTAGGGTTGTCCAGCAGCGGATGCAACCCCGGGGCAAAAGAGGAGTCTCCCGCCTCTATCAACCAGCTACAGGGCATGGCCATGATGGGAGGAGGCAATGACAGGCACACATCACTAATCGATACGAATGTGGAAGTACTCGATTCGCTTTTCCCCGACGAAAGTCTGATTCTGGAGGTCTTGGACAATCCTTGGCCACCACGAGCACCCGGGGAAGCTTTTACTTACGCCTGTCTAGACTGGATGAATAGAGCGCGGAATGCAGGAGTACTCGACTCGGGACTGGAAGAGGCACGAGAGAAAGAGGCGCAAGCGTGGGAAACAGGTGCCACTCTACCGCACTAGATTCTCCTTCAGCCTCCCAATCCATGGTTGATAATCCTGCGAAGCACCACTGGTCGCGACTAGGTCACCAGGCAACGAATTGAAATTGCATCTCGGCAACCATGCCGCTCCACCTCAGTGGGCCTTGGAAGAGATAATCGCCAGCGGAGACAAAATTTTCTCTTTTTCTTTCTCGTAAAGCTTGCCGGCTATTGCTGGCTGTCGTAGATAGAGTGGCCACCCACTTTCCCGTTACCGGCCCGAGGGGCGGGAAAGATGTAGGAAAAGACTGGAAGAGGAGAAGAGGAGAGAGGGGAAATGCTGAGTAGTCTATGATGTTCGGTGGCGGAAACAGCTTAAGGGCTGTACTTTCCTGATCAGATTGAAATTGAGGTTGAACAACATGCTAAACGCAGATGACGAAAGACCAGGTCAGAAACGCAGTTGTTGCATGATGTTCATTTGACTCTTGTTGATTCTGAGTTCCCGCGGGCGAAAAGGATGGAAACCGGACAACGGAGGAATCAACTACCTACTGACAACTGTACCTATCGGCAACGCCCGACCCATCCCAGCCCTGCAGGAAAATCTTCTTGGTTTTCGATTATGAGTGCTAGGCACTAGGATTTTCTACTTAGAGACGGTGCACGGAAATATATGCTCAGATATGGACATTGATCCAATCTGCGGGTAAATTTCTCCGCTATAGGTCGGTCTGCTTGTGCTCTCCGCGGATATCCGCGGCTTCGGTTAAGAGGCTTACAACAACATCACCTATACGGAGTAGTACTTCCATCATTTACTCTCTCCTGGCTCTGGCTGGGAATCCTTGTTGAAGTTGGGTATGCCAAATTAGATGTACAACAACCCCTGGCCCATGAAGTGACGCCTTCTATATAGATCGATAAGTCAATTTGCCTTGTGCATCTAGTCTGCTCTCACGTTGCTCCTCCGGAATCTGAGGGCACGAGAGCACTGTCACTCATACTTCCGGAAAAGGCTTCTACATCTGACATGCATCTACTAGAGAGTCCATACCGAGTACGTAGATACTGTCTCACAGGCGTTTACCCCTCAGTGGGCCTCTACCATCTCAAATAGATCATCCATGTTGACTAGCGGATAGAGAACCTAAATTTGCTTACTAGGTATGTTGTAATCTCTGTTAGAGCAGGAGCTACGAAACGTGGGAGGCGGGTAGGGACGCGGAGCTCCCCAGTGACCGACCGGACAAGCGAAACAAAAAGAAATGTCAGAATTATCGAAATATAAGAGGCTATTTACCAGGGCGAAGAGAACGATACATTGGATCTAAAGGCGAGGGTAGTTATGATATCAACTCTTATTAAGCTGGTCGATATGTATGAATTTGTGTGTTCATAACTATATATAGTATTGATTGATGTGTAAGTACAGTACTGTATATAATTAAAAAGGCGGTCACGAGTGCGATGGCATAGGCACAGTAAACTCTGCGTAATCATGGAACATCATAACATATGCTTCATGGGCAAGATCGTATACTAACTGACCTAAGTAGGTTGAAAAGTATTATATGAAATGACTGTACTAGAAAAAGAGATAGCTGATAGAAAAAGGTACATACATAGATCCATGCCTTAGGGAAAGCCTGATGAAGAAACCTGTGCAGTCGCAACGGAATAGGCCATGTAACTCCAGTATGCAATGAAATCCCCGTCTTCATTATCTGGAAAGACGACAAGCCCTCCGCCACATGCTTTGTTGCCGACCACCACAAGCTGAATGGGAAGCTCGGACCGCACTACGGTACATCATATTCCCCACCAGGATTTACCTTAAAATTGGTAGCACTCTCGATCCTAACTTCCATTGGGGTCAATCCAGCCCAAGTCTAGAATCCTATGCTACGGTTAGGATAAGCAGTAACTGGAGAGCCAAGTCAAAACATTAAAAAGTGTGAAGGAATTGCTCGCTGACCGGAGATGCGGACTTGACCGCGGCCAGTCGGAAGTGAAGGCCGATACCGATACGTCTTTTTTGCTTGAGGCTTTCACAGACCTCTCAGCATCATTTCTCATGGGCGCCAGCTACTTCCTTCATGCTTGTAAACCTTCCTGGATGTAAAGATGAGCTTCGCTATACGGAGGACTTGTGCACTGAGTACATTAACAGGAGTGCGCAGCTTTCGTTGTGAAATTCTGCGAGCATCTCCATCCTCTTGGATGTGGTTTGGCGGCGCTATGATACTTGGTCCTCCTGCACGTTTCCACTCAATGCGTTAGAAGGCCCCATATGAAGGGATTTCTGCTTGGGAGATTTGAGATCATAAAGTACCCTGATGAACTGGCTTTTTACCCTGATCGATATTTGAAATCTTCAAGGTGAAGACACTTAACTTGTGGTCTGGGCGTTTCTTACTTCATCCCGCAGTACATTCATTGTGTTGATCTTGCCTTCCCCGCTCTGCTGCACATCTCAATCACGCCATCGCCGTCTCGAACTATACCATAAGGTCGGTACATGGCAAGTTCCTCCCCGAAAGGCGCCCCAATTTTAATGTTTCTGGCTCAATCTGCAAAGTCACTTCCCTTTGGTCTCGCTCATCGCTAGATTGCACCACACGTAATCTAGGTCACTATGCCGGAGTCAAAGCAGCCGCACTTCGAAACTCTTCAACTCCATGCAGGGTATCTTAAAGGCTCTCCCAGTCCCATACTTATAGAAGACTGTATACAAAGAGAGACTGATGGTAAATCTGCTAGTCAAGAACCGGATCCTACAACCAACGCTCGTGCAGTGCCGATTTACGCGACTACTGTGAGTTCAGCTGCTTCCGGCGCATTGGTCACCCTGTTTAATTCATTCCTGACCGGGCCTTGTTAGTCATATTCTTTCAATGATTCTGCACATGGAGCCAGGCTATTTGGTCTCAAAGAGTTTGGCAACATCTACAGCCGAATAATGAACGTGAGTAGTCTGTCTCCCGCTAAGCTCTGAATAAAGGAAGGGGGCAGATAGAGTATCACTGACGATGGAAACCGTCGATTTAAGCCAACGGTCGATGTCTTCGAGAAGCGTATTGCAGCCCTCGAAGGCGGCGTTGCAGCCGTGGCTGCCGCCTCTGGTCAAGCAGCACAATTCATGACCATTTCAGCCCTTGCCCATGCAGGCGACAACATCGTAGCGACCAGCAACTTATATGGTGGCACGTATAACCAATTCAAAGTTCTCTTTCCACGCCTGGGCATTCATACCAAATTCGTCGAAGGGGACTCCCCGGCTGCCATTGCTTTAGCCATTGATGAACGGACAAAAGCGGTCTATGTTGAAAGCATAGGAAACCCCCGTTATAATGTGCCTGACTTTGAGGCTATCGCTGAAGTCGCCCATGAGAAGGGCGTTCCACTCGTGGTAAGTGCCATCTCAGGTTTAGGATACGAGCCCACCATATTAAGAATTAATGTCTAGGTGGACAATACGTTCGGAGCCGGTGGCTACTATTGTCGCCCCGTTGAGCACGGCGCAGATATAATTGTACACAGCGCTACCAAGTGGATCGGCGGCCACGGGACTACGATCGCCGGCGTTGTCGTTGACAGCGGCAAGTTTGACTGGGGTAAGCATGCGGCACGCTTCCCCCAATTTGTGGAGCCTTCTGAGGGCTATCATGGTCTGAAATTTTGGGAGACTTTTGGCAATATTGCTTTTGCCATTCGTGTGCGTGTGGAGATCCTTCGCGATCTCGGCCCTGCCCTGAATCCCTTTGCTGCGCAGCAGCTTCTCCTCGGCATTGAGACCCTCAGTTTGCGTGCCGAGAGACATGCGAGCAATGCCATCACACTAGCAAAATGGCTGAAACAGCACGAAAAAGTGAGTTGGGTTTCATACCCGGGTCTCGAGGACCATTCCAGCCACGAAACCGCCAAGCGCTACCTTCCCCGAGGATTCGGTGGAATGTTATCATTTGGTGTGAAGGGAGGTGCCGCGGCTGGAATTCAGATAGTTGACGGCTTCAAGCTTATCTCAAACGTTGCAAAGTAACTCTCTTATATCCCCGAGCATTTCGAGGGAAATATGAGCTAACTGAACTCTTATAGTGTCGGAGATTCGAAGACCCTGGCAATCCATCCTTGGTCGACGACACACGAACAGCTTACGGAACAAGAGCGGATTGACTCAGGAGTCAGTGAAGATGGCATCCGAATCTCCGTTGGTACGGAGCATGTCGACGATATCATCGCTGATTTTGAGCAGTCTTTCAAGGCTGCGAGTGCACTGTGATTCGAGGGTTTTTGCTCAACATCGGAATCTTACTCGTACACTTACCAAGAAAACACGATAACTACTATTCATTGGGATGGATACTGAACTTAAATCAGCCCAGAGGGCTAACCGCCCTCAAGTGCGATATGGTTTTTCTCTGATATCCCCGAGTCAATTGCTTAATCAAGCAATGTCACGTACGATGAACAATTGACAGGCCACATGCTCCCGGTTATAAGAGCATGGAGAGCGGAGGATCTCGTAGTCCACCTGTTGGTGCGTGCTACAAAATAGGCAAACCTAAGCAGAGACCTATTCCTAGGGCGATACTTCCTTACCCAAAATATATAGTGCGTAGAAATGATACCTTTTGAGATGATTCATTGACCCCGGTAAGGATAGGCCTAGCTTGGAAGATTCAACAATCGCGTGTGGAGCGAGAATGATGATAAAAGACATAAAGAAGCACAAAGAAGCGTATGGGAAAAGCGAAAGGCATAGACCGACCACCAAACCCCGACCATATGATCCAGGTGAATGCAAAATAGGTACAAAACATGAAGCAAACTGAAATGCGAAAGACAGGCAAAGAGCCACAAAGCCCAGAAGATGCCAAGATCGCACCTAAGTGTTCAGTTAAGGCAACAGACCGCTCGAAGTGTCACCGTAGATTTGGCTGCATAAACCAAACGAACCCGATAGCTCTGTGAATATTTGGTCCCGAAACATCACCCATGGATTAAGTGGAAAAGATCTCGATTCCTTGACTTAAAACGAACTGATGATAGATCCTACGCCGTGTTTTGGTTGTACAAGCCGAAGCCGAGTAGAAATAGACAAAGCGAAAACAGGTGAAAACGGCACTGGTATCAAAACAAGGGTGAAAGAAAATGGTTGACGGAGACGAGTCATCATCCCCGCAATTTTGTTCAAACTTGAAGAAAATTAGTTACTCATTGGCCTGGAGGAGGCGGTTGCGCCGAGCCACCACCGGATGGTCCGGCCTGTGGCCCTCCCATCATGAATCCAGGGGGAAACATGCCCATCGTAGGAAAGGAGAAGCCAAAGCCAGGCACTGCAGGGGGAACGCCGACGTTGTTGGCATTGGTGACGTCCCTGTCCGGAACGGGACCGGTACCCATCCCAGCAGGAGGTCCTTCACGCTCAGGACGCCGGAACCGATCCTGCTGCCCGCGAGAGGAGACTGGACCGCGTTTGCCGCCAGTATCGGTAGCGATTCTTCTGCTTATCGCTGTGGGAGAGTTAGATAAGCAAATGAGAAGCGAGCCAAGAACAAATGGATAAAGCCATACCTTTCGAGGAAACACCAGCACCAATCTCAATATCTGGCTCCTCGACTACCATTCCAGACTCAATGGACCTTCCACCAGTGCCACCGTACTCTGCGGTAAGCATCCATTTGCGATCCGCCTCAGTCAGTCGTTCGATGGGAATCACACTGACGCCGGTCTGATAGTCGCTGCAGTCACGGGGTCCAAACCCGACACCCCAGCGAGTCTGAAAGATAATGATTAGGGCCCACATTAAACATCGATATATACGGCACGATGTAGGATTGCTTACTCTGAGTTGCATATCACCAGATTTGTATGATTCCATTCCATCTCGAGCATTGACAGCGTCTTGGCGACTGATCATTTTAATAAAAGCGTGACGTTTATCAATATTGACAATACAAGTCTGAACGATTCCAAACTTGCTGAAAAGGGAACGAAGGTGAGCCTCGGACGAGCTATAGACTGATTAGTTCCAATGCTATACGTCGAAAACAGCGATAATTGGTAAAGACTTACGTGACGCCACCAACGAACAGAGTTCGACTCAAGACTATAAAGGGGAAAGTTAGGACAATCCTATATGGATGGAGGGGTAGAGGAAGTAGTGCGTCGCAAACGAACCTTTGATATTACCCTGACCGATGGAGTAATCCCATTCCATGAACTTAGGTCCAGGCGGGGGCAAAGCAGGATCCTTGCGAGCGGGAGAGGGAGAACGGCGCCTGCGGCCGGGAGGACTGCGCTGACGATATTCATTGCTGCGTCGACCACGAGGATCACCGCCCCTGCGACCAGGAGAGTCGCCATGATACTCCCCGTAAACGGGACTGTCACGACGACGAGGAGGCGAGGCTTCCCGACGGCGATCATAGCCAGGAGAGTGCGAGCGACGACGCCCATACTGGCCTGGGGGGGATCGCATGTATTCACGCTCCCGATCCCGGTCATAATCACGTGACTGAGAGTCCGGGCGGGCCCCCCAACCGCTGACGTTTTGACCTGCTGCAAGGTTGAACGGGGGAGGAGCCTGGCCCGGGTTCATCGCGCCTAGATTGGAGGCATTCGACAGGCTCAAGATCTGCAACGCGGTGCCCCACTGGTCTTGCGGAATACCTTGAGCATACAAGAGCTGCAGGAGCTGAAGCTGCTGCAGTGCATCTGGTCCCACCGTATTGGGCTGGGCCGGTGCTGCAGTCGCTGGCGGCAGTAGCGCGGCCAGTGGGTTTTGTGCCGTCGCTAAGGGATTGGGAGTGTGACTCTGACTCTGACTTTGTGGGGGCACCAAGGCTGGGTTCTGAGCAACATTGCCCAAAGCCGCGAACGGGGTGACCATGGCTCCAGGAGCATAAGGGTTTACACCAGCCTGCCCATTTGGGGGTTGTGACGCCTGGTCTACAGAAGAGGGCATGGTCTGCAGAACTGTACCTGGCTGGGTCAAGGCATTAAGTGGGTTGGCGGGCGCCGCCACCGCAGGCGCAGCCGGTGCGGCAGTGTTCTGTTTAGCCATATCCGCCAGAGCCCTTAGAATACTGGAAGTGTCGGGCGCTTGTTGAGTCGAGGTGGATGATGCCGCGCCATTAGTGGGCAGAGGAGCCCCTCCCAGGGAGAGGTAGTTGGGCGCTGGCGAGCCTTCGGGGGTGGTGGATTCAACATCTATAGTGTGCCGCAGGAGGGAGCAAGGTTAGCCGATGAACATTGTCATGCTTTTGAAAACCTAGGGCTGCTCACGAGGCAGGATGGTCTGGATCGAAACATGAATAAGCTGGGTAGTCTTACTTTGCGATGGAGGGGCGTTGAGTTTCTCCTTGAATGAGGCAAGCATGGGGGCAGGAAAAGTATACCCGCGTTCCCAGATGTCGACCAGTTTCTTTATCTTTTCCTATATTGAAGAGGAGCAAATACGTGAGTTGGACGGTTCGTCACCAGGTAACGATGTAAAAGGAAAGAAGGCTGAGTAGACAAGACCGGGCAAGCATAGTGGCCTAGGATTCTATGCCATGATAGTCGAGGGAAATACAGGAGATACGTTGATCGACTCTTAAGCAAGTCTGCATGCGGTCTCCAGAGCAGACCACTGTATCCTATCGGCCCTATGCTTGCCTGCGGCCCTGTGATAGTTGCGATTATGGTTTGCATATTGCATCTAGAGCGTACCTTTTGATCTTCGGGTGCGTTGTTTATGATATCAGTCATCAGGATAGGAAGCAGCTCGGTCACTCTGTTGACACCAGCGGCGAAGGTCCCATCAGGGGCAGCACTACCGGATGGTTGCCCTGCCTTGCGCGCTTGTTCTACCCACTGTCGAGTTACAGAGTCTACGACATAGAGTACGCCCAACTTGTGTGTCCCTGGTGCTTTCTTGAAATGAGTGTAGATCTTCTGGATGAGGACGGATTCGTTCTGTGGTAAAAGGAAATCGAAAGATTAGCCTCCAATCACAAAAGATAAGAACACAAGTGACGGAAGGGTAACATACCTGGACGTTGGCGGTGCAAAGTGACGTGATACTGTTGATTTTGGATCCTGAAACACCTGGTGGCTTGAGAGCCAGCATCGACTGGAGGTAATTATCCAGTTCTGCTACAGCAGACGACATGGCTGGTGAATATTTTGTTGAAGTTCCGAGCCAAGTACGAAGAGAACAGGATACAGCCAGAAGACGTCTTCTTTTGGGATAAACTATCGCTTCTTCAGGGGGTAGCGATGGACTTGGAGATGGTACAGGGAGGCGATATTCGCACCGTGCTTCCAGCCAAGCGTTCTACTGGGAAATCCAGTTGCAGTTAAAAACTCTTGAGATGCTTTGAGGAGGAATACCAATGACCTGGTAAAATAGTGAACTCCTGAGCACTGAGCACTATGTTGTTTCCTAAGCGGACTTCTGATCGTGTCACTACAGACTTCAAGAGCGTACTCTGGCGACCAAGGGAGGCCTTCCGCCTACAGCTGGAACACGGCCAAGCGATGCTGTCCAGGGCCTTGCGACTCGCAAACGAGTGTACACAGTATAGCCTAGAGTGCTAGGTCCGCTGGATAAAGTTGAGAAGAGTATTACAGTGTGCGAAGACTGTGATGAGAAGATGAAATGATGAGATGATGAAGGAAAGAGGAAGAAAGGATGGATGCAAAGAAGATTTAGGACATGGAAAGAGAAATGAACGGAAGGGAGATTCAGTTTGCGGTGGTCGGGGTCAGGTGAGAAAAATCAACCGCTTACATAACACAAAGAAAAAAAGTATTTCTTGGCTGCCTCATTCATCAGGCATAAACGAAGCCATGTGGAGGCCTGGAGTGAGAATCGAATCACGTGATGGAGCAAGAAACCCCTTGGCATAATCAGCTGGAACCGCATGTAAGCTTTGGTCGGAGCCTCGGTGAGTCGAATATGGTAGGTACTATAATGCTCTGGCGTATCTCTACTCCGTAGATTCTGAAGTTCTGAACGTACTCCGTATTGTTACACTACTGCATAGATTAAGATAGAGTTTCATTCAACCCTCCGTGTCATTCCTGAGATAGCATTATAAAGAAAGCTATTTTTGGGATTGTGACATGCCATGGCACACTCAATGCCTACGCACCAACTCCAGATGATCCTTTGTCTCCTGAGGGTCGTCATTACCCTTCAAGTTCGATGAGCATTGTTTAGGATTGATGTTATGGCTTTGTAGAGTAGGTAGGGTAGGGTAGGGTAGGGTAGGTAGGTAGGTAGGTACTGTACATGCAAAAGATCCATTGGGGAACTTTAATCAGGGCATCTATCCCATGCCTCGGGCTCGCGTCCACATGCTACCAGGAATGCACGGGGCGTACAACTGGGCAGTAAGGAAGTCAATCAGTTCTCTTTCACACTGAGAAGAAGGAATTAGGTAACCCGTTCTTTGGAAGCCTGGGCGACATACTCGGTCGTCTACGAGTAGTGCTAGGAAGTAAGGACCGTACTAGAAGTGATAAGTACTAAGTAAGAAAAGGATGGCGACTGCCGACGTCACAACGAAGAGAGAAGGGAGGGGAGGGTCACCACAGTGGCCACACCCATCTCAGCTCCATCTCATTTGCAGGCACTCCTCCGTTTACGGATGGACCGGGTGCCGAAGATCGTCGAAAAAGAAAAAAAAAATAGAAGCAATGAAAGACACGAAAGGACCCGATTCCGTCAAGGATCAGTCAAAGCAATAGCAAATGAATTTGCAGGGCGATGGACTCGTTTACTCTCCAACGGCCAAATAACTGATGGGAAATGGATCTCTCACAGCTTGACCAGGCGCGTCCTGATCGTGTGTATGTACAGTAACTACAAACCTCAACTCGGATCCTGTTCCGGACAACGGACCTAAGTTTCTCTCCCCGTCCCTCCCTCAAGCCCGGGACACCGGCCGCCTTGAAACTAGCGTGACCGTATTGTTACGGTCTACTTCCCCCTCTGCCTTGCTCTGTTGCCGGGTGTTACCGTACAACCCGTGTACCGGCTGTGGAGGTGTTACGGCCAGATGGAAAAAAAAGGCCCGCAAAAGAGCTTCTCCCCCGAGGGCTCTACCTTCTAATCTCCTTCCTTCTTTTTCTTTTCTACCGCTGTGTGATTATACCCTTTCCTCTCCTCTCTTGTTATATCATTCCCAACTTCTGATCACGTTGCCTCTTTCATCATGGCTTCCACCTTGAGACTTGGAACCTCTGCTCTTCGCTCCAGCGGCATGGCTGCTAAGCCCGTCGTTCAGTCTGCTGCCTTCAATGGCTTGCGCTGCTACTCTACCGGCAAGGCCAAGGTTCGTCGCGCTGCCAATATCGATCGTTGCTATGCTCACCCGTACTGATTCGATTACACTCTTCAGTCCCTGAAGGAGACTTTCGCCGAGAAGCTTCCCGCTGAGCTCGAGAAGGTGAAGAAGCTTCGCAAGTACGCTTGACCCCAGTCCCTTTCGTTGGGTTCCATTGCTAACCACCTTTGGTCCATGTCTGTAGGGAGCACGGCAACAAGGTCATCGGCGAGGTCACCCTTGACCAGGTCTACGGTGGTGCTCGTGGTGTCAAGTCTCTCGTTTGGGAGGTGTGTGGCTCTTACTCGATTGAATTAGTTATTAGGTTGCTAATACTCCCGTCTAGGGATCTGTTCTCGACTCCGAGGAAGGTATCCGTTTCCGTGGCCGCACCGTGAGTATATTCCTAGCCCTGAAAACGGTGACGGGCACATGCTCACAATTTGCTAGATCCCCGAGTGTCAGGAACTCCTTCCCAAGGCCCCCGGTGGCGAGGAGCCTCTTCCCGAAGGTAAGCATTCTAACTGTAAAGCCATGATGGTCCATCCTTTTAACGTAAAATTGATAAGGTCTCTTCTGGCTCCTCCTCACCGGCGAGATCCCCACTGAGCAGCAGGTTCGCGACCTGTCTGCTGAGTGGGCTGCTCGCTCTGACCTCCCCAAGTTCATTGAGGAGCTGATCGACCGCTGCCCCAGCACCCTGCACCCTATGGCTCAGTTCTCTCTGGCCGTTACCGCTCTCGAGCACGAGTCTGCTTTCGCTAAGGCTTATGCCAAGGGTATCAACAAGAAGGACTACTGGAACTACACCTTCGAGGACTCCATGGACCTCATTGCCAAGCTTCCCACTATTGCCGCTAAGATCTACCGCAACGTCTTCAAGGATGGCAAGGTCGCTGCCATTCAGAAGGACAAGGATTACTCCTTCAACTTGGCCAACCAGCTCGGCTACGGCGACAACAAGGACTTTGTTGAGTTGATGCGTCTGTACCTGACTATTCACTCCGACCACGAGGGCGGTAACGTCAGCGCCCACACCACCCACCTTGTTGGTAGCGCTCTCAGCTCTCCCATGCTCTCTTTGGCTGCCGGTCTGAATGGTTTGGCTGGTCCCCTTCACGGATTGTAAGACCTTCCGCTTTCCTTTTTGAACCAGAGCCCCCGGGATTGCCTCGCTGACATGACGATATTGTATAGGGCCAACCAGGAAGTGCTCAACTGGCTCACTAAGATGAAGGCTGCCATTGGCAACGACCTTAGCGACCAGGCTATCAAGGATTACCTCTGGTCCACGCTGAATGCCGGTCAGGTCGTTCCCGGATACGGCCACGCCGTCCTTCGTAAGACTGACCCTCGCTACGTGTCTCAGCGCGAGTTTGCTCTCCGCAAGCTGCCTGATGACCCTATGTTCAAGCTGGTCAGCCAGGTATACAAGATTGCTCCTGGTGTCCTGACTGAGCATGGCAAGACCAAGAACCCTTACCCCAACGTCGACGCTGTAAGTTGGCCACTCCGAGAATTTCTGAGACTCGCCCCACAAGTTCGAAATGCTAACTCTTGTCTAGCACTCTGGTGTCCTCCTCCAGTACTACGGCCTGACTGAGGCTAACTACTACACCGTTCTGTTCGGTGTTTCCCGTGCTCTTGGTGTCCTGCCCCAGCTGATCATTGACCGTGCCCTCGGTGCCCCCATCGAGCGCCCTAAGAGTTTCAGCACTGAGGCTTACGCCAAGCTTGTCGGTGCTAAGCTATAAATTTCTTGTCGATGATGTGAACTCCCCAGAGAGGATGAGGAGGTTTTGTGACGAATAAACACTTTATACTTTGTATTATGCCTATCAATTCTTTTTTTTTTTGGATTATCCCTCTTGTTGACTGGGATTTGCCAAGTGTTGGGGTTGGTTCGATTAATGTATGATAGGACACGGTTCGAGCGGACCTGGTAACAGCACTTCAATATTCCATGTCAGATTCCCTACGCCTACTGATTTATCCTGGTCATTTTTGGTAGACTGCTGCATCCGAGGCGCAATGGGCGCGCGCCGAATACTGACACATGATATGTGTCCAATAGTGAAGGCAGCGAGGAGGTTTGTGGGGATCGTGGTAACCTGCAAGTCTCAACCAGCATGGATTGTGATCTACCCATCCAATGCAATTGACGTGTATGTAGTCTGGGAGAAGGTAGCCAGAATCTTCATTGTTACGACTCGGGGTACTGTTTCGAGGCAAGGCCTCAGTTTAAATCCTTTGACGCGGGAAGGAGTACTCCGTGGTAGGATTGAGAGAGCTCTCGGAATGACGCAGAGTTAGCGAGCAACAGTGTCATTCCGTCGATATACTCCGTGAACCGAAGAAGGGGAGATTTTCTTTTGGGGTTGGGGGAGGTGGGGGGGGGTTGGTGCGCGGCAAGGTAAGGACTAAGGCAAGGTAGGCTGAGTACTCCGTAAATACTCATAGCTTAGCTAGCTAGGTATTAGCTCCCGTCCTGGGCTCTCGTTCAACTCAACCGTTGGGAGGGGAAATGCCCGATTTACTCCGTACTCAACATCTGCTGGTCGAAAAGCCCTCGGGTGTAGCTGGTAGTGGTGGGCAGCCTCACCGCCGGGACAGAACCGGTCTAGCTAACGATATGCCTTGATCAAGCTAGAAGCATTTGTCGTCAGCCTATGACCGCCAACTGACTGGGTCATTCCGGGGTGTTTTGCTCCTGACCCCCGATCGGAAAGGAACGAACGAGTAAGACGAGTTGACTGTGCTCATTACTACGCCGTAGCGCGCGTACCTTGGCTCTCCCAGGGCGGGCACGGCTGGCTTCCTTCCCTATCACTGCGGCCAGCAAAAATAATACATAACAAACCAGCCTTCCTTCTCTGCATCCTGAAATCTTTCAATAAATCCCCCACAGTCTTACCCTACCCACCTGTGCTTCATTGCTCACCTTCGTCGACCGACCCGGAATTCCCAAGTTTTTCCCCAGCCTTAGCCTTGGTACGTGTGAGACATCCCCAATCGAGTTATTTACTTCTGGACCCGTCGGACTTGATAAGCCAATGCTCAGCTGCAAGCCCCGGACATCAAACCACCTCAGCTGCATCATCCCCTCCCCCAATTCATCCCTGCTTATTCCACGCTGCTCTCCCTCTGCTTCCACCACCCTCCTTCTACAGTACTCTCAGTTACCCTACGTTTCCATTAATCCTTTCCCTTGGCGACTAATCCTTTTTAACTCTTTGTGAAGATCAACAGCAACCCAGGCCAACGAGTCAATTCCCAGTGACTTGCCACTCCTATCTGCAGTTCCACTACCTTCTCTTGCGATCCCTTAGGCGACGAAGCCCCTTATATCCCTTGGTCAGGGCCCCTTTCAGCGTTCCCCAAGTTTGAAGATGTCTCCCGCTCCGGTTGCGACGGCCCCTACTGGCCAAACGCTTGAGAAGAAGCCTGTGAAGTTCAGCAATCTATTACGTGCGTAATCCAGTCCTGATCATCTCCACCAGGTGCGCTCTCTGATTCTAATGGCTTTTCTACAGTCGGTGCGGGGTTGAACTTGTTCGAGTAAGTACTCCACCCTCTTTGACATCTTTGCCACATGTTGTGTATGACTGACAGGCATCGATAGGGTCACAACCTTGGGACAGGTACGGTTACCCTTCTTCTTATCGCGCTGAGGGTTGGCGACTGTTCGTCAGACTGACATGATATCTTAACTTTAGCCGCTGGAAGTGATCAAGACAACCATGGCCGCAAACCGGGGCGACAGCTTCGCCGGCGCAATGGGTCGGATTTGGGGTCGTGGCGGGATCCTCGGTTGTAAGTGCTTTGTCTCCTCTTTACCGGCCGACTAGCGTGTTGGGGGGGCGCGTCTAACGTGGAGTCACAACAGATTATCAAGGTCTCATTCCGTGGGCCTGGATTGAGGCCTCCACCAAAGGTGCTGTCCTGCTCTTCGTCGCGTCGGAAGCCGAATTCCGCGCCAAGGTGCTTGGTGCCCCCGATTTCGTGGCAGGTATCGCTGGTGGTATGGTTGGTGGTATCGCTCAGGCCTACGCTACGATGGGATTCTGTACCTGCATGAAGACAGTTGAGATCACCAAGCATAAGATGGCTGCGCAGGGTGTCAATCCGCCCAGCACCTTCGCGACTTTCATGGACATTTATCGCAAGGAAGGCATCCGTGGCATCAACCGCGGTGTCAATGCTGTCGCTATCCGCCAGACCACCAACTGGGGTTCCCGTTTCGGTTTCTCTCGCTTGGCTGAGCAGGCGATCCGCAAGGTGACCAACAAGGACGACAGCCAGAAGCTGAACGCTTTCGAGAAGATTCTGGCTTCCGGTCTGGGTGGTGGTTTATCGGCGTGGAACCAGCCCATTGAGGTGATCCGCGTCGAAATGCAGAGCAAGACCGACGACCCCAACCGCCCCAAGAACTTGACAGTTGGTAAGGCTGCCAAGTACATCTATGAAAACAACGGCATCAAAGGCCTCTACCGTGGCGTGGCTCCTCGGGTGGGGCTGGGAATCTGGCAGACTGTTTGCATGGTGGCTCTGGGTGACATGTGAGTTGAAACCCCCGTCCCACACCTTTTGTCCTTGTACTTCCGGGTGGAATTCAATCCATCGAATGAGCAATGCCGCTTATGTGGGCTGGCGGCGGCTGGATCGGCGCACCCCGGTCTTCCCCATGTGATTTCTTTAGTATTACCGAGGGAAGAGTTAAGGCTAACGTGTGGGTCTCCGTTGAACCGAACAGGGCCAAGGAGGCAGTTGAAAAATTGACGGGCGAGGCTGTCACCGCAAAGCACTAGGGAAGGTTTGAGATACCCTTCTGCCATGCACGCGGTCAGAGAAAATATGGGTAGACGCTGGTCTGGTCAGTTCGCCGTCGTCTCAGACCGGACCGTCGATGAAAGCGAAGTGGTGCGAGGTGCTGAGCACGCCGCACAACAGAATTTACAAGCATTTTATTCATTACAATAGTGTTAATAGACCTGCAATCGTCATTATGACTCGTTGGCCGAAATCGAAGGCGGTTTTGAATCTTGTGCGAGGGGTATCGTACAAATCATCTGCCTACTATGTGTTGGGCCCACCCGCCTCGACTCTTAGGTGTAGTACATGGCTATAGCATATGCAGGGATCTCTCCTGCTCGATCTCGGGATTATGGCAAAGAGTAAGTTGAGTTGGATTGGGTTGAGTTTCCACTGGGAACGTTTCTCCATTGGCAGTGATTTCTCTGCGCCAAGCTGCAGATACGAACATATGCCAGCTTTTTGCTTTGTCGACATCAATGCTTATATTGTAAAGCCTAGCCACAGTAGATATTTATCTGGCGTTGGTTTCCCGCATAGACCGAGGTAGTCCCGATTGTAGCGTGCGCAATTAATCGTTGCTGGAAAGAGGATTGTTTGTGAACAGCAACTGGACAGGTGCAGATAGTTCATCTGATGTCTAGCCCAGATACGCTTTTTTCTTTTCTTCTTCTTCTTCTTCTTCTTCTTCTTTTTTTCCTTTTTTCTTTTTTTCTTTTTTTTTTTTTTTTTTTTTATTATAGCCAGGTTACTTTTGCGGTTTTCAGAAACTTGGGAGTATAATGGCTGCGCGAGATGGACCTTTCTACGCATGGATTCGTGCTACAACTCTGACGATTTCATCTGTTGTCAATGGAAGTAGCTCAGGCGGGAAATGCCTGCACAGCTCAAGTGCACAAAACATAGGGATAAGATACAATTGTATTACAGACGCACACAACTACAGCCACATCATCACAAATGAAAAACAAGATATCTGCGGAAGGTTGATCTAGACACAAGGTGGGTGGAAAAGGAAGACGCGCTTTTTCTCCAAAAGCAAAGCCAGTCTAAGATGTATTTATTGTATACATGTTTAAACGGTCAAGCCAAGGTCCTGGCCGTAGGGCAGCTGGAAGAGATCTCCAACAGCGGTGACGGAAGCCTTGCCGGACAGGAAGGACTTGGCGACCTAGAGGTAATGCGGTTAGCCATTAACTTCTATGCAGAAAAAAAAAGTAGATCAAGGATTTGCGGGGCATGGAACTCACCTCCTTAACCTGAGCCTCGGTGACAGCGTCAATGCTCTGAGCAACCTCGGAGATCTGGTAAGGCTTGCTACCGTTGATGAGAGCGGCGCCGGTAGCCTCAAGACCAGTCTCAAGGTTCTGGGCGGACTCAAGGGCACGGAACTTGGCCAGCGCGACGGCCTTCTTGACATCTTCGCTAGCGACTTCCCCGGCGGCGGCCTTCTTCAAGGTATCGACGGCACTCTTACCAGCGGAGGCGATCTGCTCGGCCTTACCAGTGAGAGAGATGGTGAAGAGACCGGCGTCGGAGTAAGCGAGGTTCTTGGTCGAGGCACGGACCTGGGAGAAGCCCTGGGTGGCCTGGCTGAGGAGAGAGAAACCAGGGGTCCACTTGATAGTGGACTCACCACCAAGGAGGGCAGCGAGAACGGAGGCCTCGGGCTTGTAGGCAGAGGTGCCGAAGGCGCCGGAGCCGGGGAAGGCAACCACAACGGCGTTTCCGGCCTTGGAGGAGATGCGCTGCTCGCCACCGTAGTATTGGGAGGCGGCGCTCTGCTGAGGGTGATACTTGGAAGAGCCACCAGCGCTGGGAGCCTCCTTGAAGAACTGGCCAACCCACTTAGAAACCTCGGCCGAGTTGGGACCACTGCCGACGATGGCAATGTTAGATTTGGCGAACGCTTGCTGGGCAAATTCTGCGACGGCCTCGGCAGAGAGATACTTCTCGAAAGCAGTGGTGACCGAAGGGGTGATGCTCTCGCCCAGACCGCGGTGGAAAGCCACGGCGTGGGCAGCATCAATAGCAACGGCCTCGGGGTTGGCGGCAAGAGCTTGTTGTCTGTACTTGAGGGTCTTGAGAACGACCTCGCTCAACTCGTGGGCTGAGAGAGAAATAGCCATATATCAGACCTGACTAACACATTGGAAACCTAGCGGATTGACATACCGGAGAACTTGGTCTGGGAAGCAACCTCCGCCAAGAGCTCAGCGAAATAAGGGAGGTCGTTGGCAAGGAACTTGGCCTTGAGAACAACATTCTCACGCGAGTGTGTAGAGGAGACTTCACTGCCCAGCAGTTCGACCTCCCGATTGATCCGCAGTGCCGAGCGTTTGAGTGTGGACTGTGTGTGTGGCGCAGAAAGTCAGTTTGTTGGTGCCCAGAGTAAGTAATTGTGCCTAAAAGGCGTAGGAAGTCCAATTGAGCCAGAAACACCTACCTTGAAAGCAAATTGTTCGAGGGCATCGGAAAAGCCAGGGAAGGGCTGGTAGCGAGTGCCGGCCTTAGCAACGAGGGCCAGGGTGCCGGTAGGGCCGGTAACCTCTCTGTTGGCGACCTTCACACCCGCAGACTCGGTGACATCGTACTGGAGGCCAGGAGTCGCGGCAGAGGCCATGCCCCGATGACTGGTGGCACCAGCAGCAGAGCACTGCTTCTGGAGCGCACGGGGCGCATTTCGGCTGATGGTGGATCGCGACAGCATTATCGCATGTGTAGAAGAAACAAAGAGAGGAATGCGAGTAGGAAGCCGAAAGGCTTAACGGCAATTGGAGGTGGTGGGAAGGTGGGAGAGCAGAGGAGAGCTGCCGGCGGTCGTTGGGCGGGTTAGAAACGATGTCTGAAAAGCTTCAAGATGCCGGCGTCGTTGATTACTTGCGCCCTGATTGGTCTGAATTGCGAGTGCGGGCGGAACCGGCTTTTCCTCGTCCTCCGAGTCAGCTGAGGTCATGTGATGGGCACCCTCTTCCGCATGCACGTGAGTTTCTTCCGCCGACACGCGATAAGAAATATGGCCAATCGGTAAAGGGAAAAAAAACCTCCCCTCCTCAAGAGTGACAAGCTGAAAGGCTGCCTGTTTCCCCTCTACAATTGCCTCATGCTCTTCCCTCGGTGACCTCGATCTTTGTTCTAGGGAATTGACGGCGGGCATTCTCTAGACAGCCCCTCAATCATGGCTTCTCAAGTATGCGACACCCCACCCTTTCACTGCTAGCTATCCCGTGCTAATAAACAATTCACACAGTATGCAGCGGAGCTTTGCGCGCTCTTGGTCGAGGATAATTTTGGAGAGCTCTTTGCGGTATGCCCACGGCCTGAATCTCATCACTTATCTCGCTTTCAACACATTGTACAGCTGGCAACGCTGGGCAATCGAATTTCGGAGGTGGAGCTAGACTGACATTGTCATCACAATGACAGCGTATCTTCTCAACCCTGCAGCGTTATGACCGACTGTCTTTTCCTCGCCTTAAATTCTACTCGCGCCTGTCTGATCGCCAGCTCCGTCATGGTCTTGCCGCGATGATCCAACATCACCTCATATATCACTACACCTCTTACGACGAGGGCGTCACTTATTACGAGCCCAACCCACAGGCTGCGTATTACCTCGTCCGGTCCGGCAAGATTCTCGAATTCATCCAAGAGCGGCTAGGCAGTTATGCGGCCACCGTCATGTCGACCATCATGTTCCTCGGACACGCCCAAATAAGCCATCTCGAGACACTGCCAGAGCTGAGACCCGGACAATCTAGAGTGAATGGGATCAACGGCGACTCTCCAGGCGAAGAGTCCAACGGAACAGCAAATGAGCATGAGGTGGGAGATCCAGGTGGACAGTCAGCCTTGCTTCATCCAACATTGAAGGCATTGGCATCTCATGGATATCTGATCCGCGTCCGTGACGCGCAATTCCAAAGTTATGCGGATAATGCGCTCGATGCTGAACGTGCGATCAAATCGCGCCCCGACGTCAAACAGATGAAAGGTAAACGGCTCGAGGAAACTGTTCTAGATGGCACACTTTCCATGTTAAGGGAGAAATTAGACGGAGATCTAACCCGTGGATTGATGCATAACGGACTACCGCGGGGTGCCAAAAGAAGGCCAGGTAACGGGTCCGGGAACGCCTCAAACCAAGATGCCCGGGTGGACTACGATATGGAGGATGAAGATGAGGAGGAAAATGAATGGTCTGATGACGATATGGGGGGGGATACCACTCCCATGGAGGCAAGCCTTTTTTTGACATCCGAACATGCCCACTACCCAAACTAACGGTGCCTCAATATCTAGTCTGGAATAGTTGTCCGTGTCAACTACGAAAAACTGGACGTGGCTCTCCGGAATCGTCGATTCCTCGATCTTGCTGAGATGCACTCATCACCGGCCACAGTCCAGGTCTACGAATGTCTTCTAAGACGTATCGAATACCAGACCAAACAATGTCGGGACAGCGTTGAAATCCCTCGCGAAGGTGAGGAAGGCGAGCAATATTCCGTTGCTGTCGCCCTGAGTGCGGTGACAGAAGAGGTCGACCCGCAATTAGATCTCGCGGGCTCCATCGGCCCCATGGAGATCCCACAGCCTGTCAACAAGCGTGGAAAAAGGCCGTTAGATGATGTTGGTGTCAATGGGAACAGTCATCAAGAGTCCGATGCACCTAGCCGGACCTATGAAATTGACCAGCACCTCAGTCTCCTCTCCCAACCCCCTTACAACCTGACCTCAAAGCGTGTGGTATCCGGCATCATCACCTGGACTGTGGAGTTCCGACACCTGGCGCGTAAACTCCGCCATCTAGAACTCGAACGTATCATCGAAGCCCGCTACGGCGACGTTGCTCTACGAGTGATTCGCGTTCTCCACGCCAAGGGCAAACTTGACGAGAAACGCCTCCAAGAAATCAGTCTCCTTCCATTTAAGGATCTGCGACAGGTATTGGCCAGCATGCAATCCGGTGGATTTGTTGACTTGCAGGAAGTACCGCGAGATGCACAGCGACAGCCGTCACGCACAATCTACCTCTGGTTCTACGATCCGGACCGCATCCGTAATAGCATTCTGGAGGATACATACAAGGCTATGTCTCGGTGCATGCAGCGCTTACGGTTCGAGCGGACTCGGCTCAAGGAATTCTTGGAGAAGACCGAGCGCAGTGACGTCAAAGGGAATGAAGAGCGGTATCTATCTCCGGCGGAGCTCACCCTGTTAGGGCAATGGAGAAGTAAGGAGGCCCTATTGCTGGGCGAAATCACCCGGTTGGACGAGATGGTGGCAGTCATGCGAGACTACTGACAAGGGTGGATTCACACCAACCCTATCTCTAATATCTCTAATGGCAACGCCATCACGATAATGTATACCGAACTAGTGATACCACCCCCTGTGTCCATTTTCGACACTCCTTTGATGCCGTAAGCTACCTGTTGACCAAGTGATGCATGACACATGGGCTACACAGGCCAAATATTGTATAACTTTCAAAGTCTAGTGGGACGCCTGAATCTGATGGCTAATCTTATCGAGGAGTATGCGCTATGCAGTAGATTATAGGACTGAAATCTCAGCAGTAAGCCATTTACCGCGGTGGAAATGACTAAAAGAAACAAAGAATAGTGATGTATGGAATCAAATCACACATGAAGTGAGAAAGGCACCTATGTACGCCGAACCAGACAACCGCCACACCATATATTACCAATTTTGGGGGGGGGGGGGAAATCGTAAACCACATCCCGTAGTTAACACTAAATCTAGGCGCTAATACGGACTTCCCTTCTTGTCTATGCCTTTCCTGCTTCGGGGTATGCAACTTCGTGGATATCATGATATTGGGGTGGGGAGGAAAGACCATCAGCTGAGATGCGAGCGCGCAATCTCACAAGCTATCGGACGTTATGTCTTAGTCACGATCGCCGGCTCCAGCTGCAGATGGGACTTCCGGCCCATTTTCGGCAACTGTGGTTGCAAAAGCCTGTTCCACCTTGACCTCGGAGTCTCCCAGACGGTTCTCTGCGGCAGCCAGCTTGCCCTTGGTCTCTTCAAGCTCCTGCTGTAGGGTTTTGATGTAATCGATAGCCATCTCCACCGTGCTCGCCTTGCTGATCGGTTGATTGCTCGCCTTTTCTTTCTCTTTGTCGGCCCCCTTGATATGACAGGCAGCAGCCTCTTTGGCATGTTTCATTTGCACGAAAGATGGCGGAATCAGTGTCTCAATCTCCTTGAGTGCGTTATTGATGCGATTTCTCCGTCCCTGTTCGGCGAGCTTGTGGTTGGTCCGTTTTGAGCTAAGATTCTCTGCCAAAGTCTCGGGATATGAGACGCCAGGCAAAAGGGTGCCATCCAGAATGTGCTGGTAGTTCGACTTCGAGGCCAGGTACAGAGCCGACGTTTCACTTGACATTGCTGTAACCGAGACCTGATTAGCGAATTCGCAATAGGCATGATAAGGCTAGAGGACTTACCATCTCCACGGACTAGCGGTTGGATGCTGGGGCTGATCTTCGGCCGCAGGCTAGGACTAGCTTGTGAAGAACTTAAGCTCTGCCGCTTACGCCCGATCGGACCCAGTTTGGGCGTGTCCGATTTCTTGGGCAATGGGCCGCTCGGCGATGGCATAGCAATTGAGCGAGGACTGGGAGCTAGAGAGGTGTTTCGGTTGGCTACCGGAGCGGACTTTGGCTCCAAGGCCGGGGTTGTACTTCCTGGGGTTGCGGACAAAGCCGAATCCGTCTGGACAGTAGTTTCAATGCGGGCCAATTGCGGTCTCGCAAAAGGAGTCAGCGAAGTTGCGGCCTCGGGAAGAATCACATCTTCCATCACATCGTCATGGGGCTCCGACACGGTGGGTTGGGATGGTGGAACAGTTTGGCTGACCGAGAGGGGCGACCGTTGAATGCGCATCAGCATCGCGGGCGTTGCGGGCTCACTCGGTTCAGAGGGTCGAGTCGGCTGAGGACGGATGGCGGGCGATCTTCGCGAGGGAGGCAAAGCGGGCGGCGGCATTAAGGGCTCGGAGAGAGGCTCGGGCGAAACAGAATCTTGGCCGGAGCTCTCATTGCTGGCATAACGAAGTCCGCTTCTACCGGATGTCTGAGACACAATCACGGCCTGGTCTTGACTGAGGCTGTTCAAGACGTCGTCGGGATTGAGGCTCATCAAGGACTTCTTGCGAGTTTGCGGCCGAACCGAGGGCGACTGTTGCTTTTTCGCGCGGGCCGAAAACGACTTTGTGCTAGAGGGCTGCCGGCGATGTTTCCGCATCAACCCTGGCGAGGACGGGTTGGACGTCATAGAAAGGGCATTGTCGGCGGGTGAAGGGACAAACCCCATCTCCGACATCTGAGTGGAATGGAAAGGATACCCGGTGGAGCTTGTGCTTTGTGCCTCGAGCGCGGGCGATGTGAGGGGGGTGAAGTACTCTCCGGGGATAGTGTATTCAGGAAGACGGAATTGAGTCTCCAACGGTGTCATGGCGGGCGAGACAAGCGGAGTGTAAAGGGCCTAGAGCGAAGCGGGGTTCATGCATTAGCTCTTGAAAATGTTCCAGGTTGTTCTCACCAATGCACATACCTGTTCATCATTCACACGCGCAAATCGTTCGTAAGCTTCACAGGTCTCGTCCAATCGCTGCGGGTACGTGGCAGCATTTCCATGAAACTCGATACTGTTCGGAGTGGGAGGAATGACGAGCCTGCCTTGAGGGACATAGGATTGTGACATAGACTGTGCAGATTGAGATAACGAATGCGACTGTTCCGGCACAGGTGGATGCGGATGCTGATGGTAAATAGGTGGTTTGTGTGCATAGAAGGCGGGAGTAATCGGGGCGGTAGAGTAGGACGCGCCATGTGGCTGACCTTGCTGTCCGTGCTGGGCAAGATCCAGGGCGAAGTTGTTGTTCATCATGGGACTGTACGACGATGCCGGCGCAGTCATGCCGTCAGTGTCCATGCGGACCAATTGCTCTGGTGCAGGGGCAGTTGTGCCGGGCATGGACATGGTGACAGCGTGGGTCAAGGGACGAGAAGCATGATGGCCAGATTGGGATTGACCATCCACCTCGGGGAACTGCATTCCGAACTCGAGGAAGTTGGTGAACTCATCATCGTTGGACGGAGGAATGTCCGACCAGGACAGGGAATGTCCTTGCTCCATGACGAGAACTTTCTTTTCTTTTCTTTTTTCCTTGCAGGATTCGGATGGGGAGGGGAAAGGTTGCGTGGACTGGCTTAATTCCCCGGCTCTTGTCGATAAGGAAGTGGAGCAATGAAGACGGCCAGTGGCAGACGTTTGAGTGACGATGTGATATAGGGCGCTCCGACAGGAGAAGAGTGAAAGAGCTGTTTGTCTCAGCCAAAATGAGACGGCCAAGACAAGATCGATCGATTTCAACAGAGGATCAGTACCTGGGGGCGTAGGGCACGCTCAGGAAAAGAGATTGAGGGACATGGCGGAGGAACCGAAGGATGACTAGGCAAACAAATGGTCGAGCACAGCAGCGGGGAGGGTCAAGTCCAGACTGGTGCGACGTCACTCTGGATCGAGGCAGGCAGTTCAAAGCAATGCTACACGCGAGAGGGAGGGGAAGTTGTATAGAGAAAGAAATGGCAATTTAAGATAACGGAAAGGGAGAACGAAAGAAGAGAGAGAGACGAGAAGGAGGAGGAGGAGGAGGAGGAGGAGGAGGAGGAGGCACGAGGAATAGTTAGTGAGAATAGCGGGAAAGGGAAGGAAGGCACTGCAGGCGGACGGGGCATGCAAGAGATTGGACTCGGGAAGGAAAGAGGAAGGGAAGGTAGCGAGAGAAAGTCAAAGGCTAATAATTAATTTCCGCGGCACTCGCCTTCCCACCCCCCTCCCCAAATTCGCCATTTTCCACTGGAGAGTACTCTTACTTGTATCTATTTGAACTTAGCGTGCAGGCGACGTGTGGTTAATTAGCCTCAAGGGAAAGATGAATTTATCTAGTATCTACTTAAACAACTAACTAGTAAGTACTAAGTACTCGTAATCATGTTTAGCGAAGTATCTATTGAGTAACGACCATCGGGGAAATGGACCCGGTTCAGTGGAGTCGGAGAGAGAGAGGAGAGGGAGGGGAAAAACCCGGGTGGGTGTGGATTGAGTATACTATACTGTACTGTACTATACTATACTATACTGTATTGGAGTGTAAGGTACGGTATATATGTATACTTCCTTGCCCTACTAACCTATCTAGGTACTACTCCCTAGTGACTCGACCGTAGTACCTACTACCTAGTACTCACTCTATTCAAGGCTAGACAGGGTGGGTGGTCTGAGCTCATCTATCTATTGTGCAGACTAAAATCAGACCATGAGAATTGTCTCTTGAGGTGCTGGGCTGGGTAGATTCCCTTGGGGCTCGTATCGATCCGTAGGGGCAAGTGCTGGAGAATCCGAGCAAGCAAACCAATAATGCCCCGCGGCCGGCTTTGCTTGGGCTTTCTCTCCCCGGATACAGTCAGTAGTCCTGGAACTCATTGATTGCCATTCCAGGTTGACCCTGGAACAATTGATAACTAGCCAGCGGACTGGCGAGCTAGGACGATGTTTACGCTTTAGGAAATAGCTCAAGTGACCTTCGGAGCAGTGCAGTTCCATGATGAGACAAAAAGCAACTTGGTGTGCTGCCCCTCGTCAAGATGTTTGACTATTAACCGATCCTGGTCTTTCATTTGTCGTCTTAGTGGGCGTAGGTCGGCTGCGATGCCGTCCGCCCTAAATCGTACATTAGTCTCGTTCAGTGCAGCGACTTAGAAGACAAATCCTACGCTCCCCCCCCCCCCCCCCCCCTTTAGTTGGCGAGCTGGATCGAGTCGGCCGGTGGTGCAGTCCGGTGCCTGGTTCGGAACGCTGGCGCGGGAAGGCGTAAGGCATAGGCTAGCCTGCAGGCGAAGCATTGGATCCGCCTGTTAAGATGCGGAATGGATAGTATTGCGGTTAGCCTGGCATCTGAATCAATCTCAGTACTGTAGCTGCGCTACTTGTCTTGTAGTCTTCGTTGATTGATGGTGGGCACTGGGGACAGACAGAAGGAAGTACCGAAGAAAAGCCGCTCTCAGCACCGAGCTGGAGGATCTAGATCCGCCCGTGCGGCGAGAGAGAAATCGTCAACTAAGAAAAAAAAATATCGCCCCGAGACGAGCGAGACTGAAGCTGGCTAAGAGGAAGAACATCGGATGAAGGATAGTATGAGACTATGAGTTAGTCTTTCAACCCGCGCGTCTCCGATTGACTGTTCCTCTCCACTAGACACTTCGAGCATTGAGGATGGATGTACAGCCTGGAGTACAGTACTTTCGACTATGAGCGATAAGCCATGGTATGGATGAATGTATGCAATGGAATGAATGAATCGGTATGATTTTGTACCGTATCAGCGAGGTCAAACGTTCGGCGCACCATTTCGGTCTGCCCCACTGTTGAGCTAGGCAAAAAAAGGCTTGGCTCTCTTTCCCAGAGGGCTAATTCTTTCTTGGTGCTTGTTTCTTTTCAATTGCAACTCGATTTGCATAATAGAAACCCGCCGCTTTGATAAGAGCACGGTCCAGCAAGGGTTCCCAAGTTCCCAACATGTCAAAGAGAAATGGATCCTGGATGTCACAACTCACAATGAAGCGGAGAATTGTGGGTGGTGTGCTTATATAATAATATGTGCGGGGTCGAGGAAACGTGACATGCCATCCGGATGACATAAACACCAACACCCCAACAACCATCAGAAGACTGACAACAACATCCTGGTGCTTGGTGCTTGATCGATCCCGGTACCTGAATGCTCTAAGGGGGATGCATTTGTCTTGCAGGTGATCTTCGACTTTTGCCTTGCCCATCATGAGACCACCGGTGCCGGACCTCGCGGTACCGCGATCTCGCAAAGCCTCGCTCGAGCAGCAGTGGACCGATCCCCGCAGTGCGGCCCCCGCTACCTTCTTTCTGGCCCGCAGTCATGATACCGATGGAGAGATTTCTCCCGACGAGATCGAAGCTCCCACGGAACATCTGTACGGAGTACAAAGCCTTGAGGAGGTAGTCACTCCAAAGGAGTTTTCTTCGGGCTCATCTTCGACCCGTCAGCCTTTGGTTCAGGATGAGGAGGAGGAGGAAGAGGAGGAGCGTGAAGTCCGCCAGACTATCCGTCGCAGGTCGACCTTGAAGCCCTCAGATATGCTTACTACTAACTCCGTCAAATCTTCCCGATTCCCCCTTGAAGAGCTCTCCTCTCGACCTCTCACGCCTTTGACTTTTGACCATCCAGATGACCACTCATCCCTTCCGAGCAGTCCCCGGTCGATCTCTAATCATTCCATACCGCATCTTGATGACATTTCGATTGCCGATGATCTTAGCAGCCAGGCCGTAGCTTCGGCGGAGGAGGACGACGACTATCGCTCGACGCATAATCCTATTTCCGACAACACCTCCCAACTTATCATGCCAAGTATCAAGATGCCCAGTCGGAAACCCTTCACGGATCGTGGGAAGGCTCTGGGGCGTTTGAAGGTGCTCGTCGCAGGTGCCCCAGGTCAGCTGATCACTCTCGCCGTCGACCACAAAGGAACTTTTGCTGATCTACAGGTCTCAAGGCTCGGGAAAGTCCTCGCTCATTCAATCTATATTCCAAGCCTGCGAAGACATCGTACATATGGACGATTTCCCCTCTGTGTCCCCCTCGAGGATTTTACGGTCTCTCACACCCTCTCAAGCATCTCATTCCTATCAGTTCTCACAAGCGGCCACCGCGGAGATTTACGCTAGTACCAAGCCCTATCCGTCGTGGTGGTCAGATCTGGAGGATTCACGCGTACTTCGGCGGAGGAAAAGCACAGGTGACATTGTCCTCGAGCGCAACATCTGCTTTGTTGATACTCCAGCCACTTCCATGGGTCGATCGGAACAGACTGAGTCTATCATACAATATATCCGCCAGCAACTTTCTCGAGCAACAACCGCCATCAGTGCCATGAACCATGACTTCCAGAACTTACTTGCTGGTAACGGCGGAACGCAAGTCGATGCCGTACTCTATCTCATATCCGAAGGTAAGATAGACTGAGTTTTTCCTGGCCTTCGACTCCCTCAAGGCTAACGGATATTTAGAAACGCTTCTTGCGGATATGGAGTGCATCCGAAGGCTTTGTGACTGGACTAATGTTATTCCCCTTATCGCCAAAGCAGATCTTCTGACTCACGGAGACATCCTTGCCCTAAAATCTTCTTTCCATAAGCAGGCTCAGACCCTGTTAGTCAAACCTTTCCTTCTAGGCAGTCCCAGCACAGATTCGGAAGATTATGACGGCTACCATGGTATACCTTTTGCGGTATCGTCCGCGAAAGCCAGTAATGACGAGGTAATGGATGCCAGCACCCTTATGAGCCCAGACTATGTTCAGCCTTTGGTGCCTTCGGAACTCATGTTGCTGGTTCAACGGATATTCGATGGGGAGAACATTGCCTGGATGCGACATTCAGCCGCAAAGAAGCTAGCCCTTCAGCAGCAGAAACAACCGTCGCAGGAGCATAGCCACCTGCCTCTTAGCGCCCTTACGGTTACTCACAGTGCCCGTCGGAGCTCTCCCACTTACACCATGGCTCGGCTGGCCGATCACACCCGTCAAGAGGAGGGGTTGGCTCGTGTGCAGCTGGCCAAGTGGGCCTCGGATCTGCAGCAAAGCCTGCAGAACGAACGAGAGCGATACGCTGCGATGGCCCGGGGCGAGCGTGCCATTTGGCTCACGGAACGCATTGGGGAATGTGTCGTAGAAGGATCATTAATTCCGATCACGCAAAGCCCAGGCTTCTGCGGCCTCCATGGGCCTGCGGAGAAAGGCAGTGGCAGCGGGGTGATCCTTCGTACAGCCAACGGACATAACGTGGAATATCAGGTTGCCCGCCTCAGTTCGCAGGACCCCCTCGGCGTCGTCCGGTGGTCAGAGGATCTCAGACGACGTGGGTGGACCGTCGTCCAGATTGTGGGGAGCTTCGGGGTTGTTGGCGGGCTTGCGTTCTGCCTAGCAAAAGCCTGGGGATTCCCCTCGCGCACTCTGTGCGAATGGCACCTGGACTGGTATAATACCAGCAATTAGGCATTCCTCCAATCAGGGCCGATTCACAGCCCTACCTACCTTATGGCTGTTTTGGGGTCCTATTCCCTGAATCCCCCGCTCCCTAATCCCAATGTCCCCCCCGATCACGGCCTTGAAGGGCGTGTTCTTTCCCTTCCTCTTTGCCAGCCATTCACCCCTACGGCGAAGGCTCCCCTTTCTCTCCATCACATATCCTCCGTCTCACGATTCGATTGCGGCGTTCCTGGGTTCGTGTTGTGTTTTAATTTGCTAGGCCATATGCCGCCCCATTCCCTGCATCCTCGTTTCCTTTCTTGATACCGAACTGTTCGTCCCTTGCTTTTATACATTTATATATATATTAAGCGTAAGTATGACCCAGCCCTGATCTTCTCACAGCACAACCACACAGACCGGAGTTGGCATTTCCAAGCAACCTATTCCTCCCTCCCAAATACTTCCATGCAATGCATCCTATTCGTCGATTCATACCATTCGCTTCGTCTAGTTCTTCGTCGGAATGGAAACTCCTACTCCGCAATGATAGTAGTAACGTATTTGTTGCGTAGTACTGTTGCGGTAGCAGTTTACAACTGTGCAAGCAATAAACATTTTAGTGCGTATAGGAGACTACATATACTTTGAACAGGCAGAAAAAGCTATCACATTGAATGAAAGCAACCATCCGAGTCTGGGATAACAGTTTACATGATAAACCTGCCGGCCAAATTTACCCGAGCGGCTGTGACAACTTTAGGCGCTACATCCTACAAACAAACAATGCACGAAGAGAAGCTTTTATTTCTCCAAAGTAAAATCTACCGATTCGAAAACGAGCCTTGATACCTGAGGGAACAAGTACTGCGAGTGTGTATCGATCAGACGAGACATATTTGATTTGATAAATAAGAGAAAAAGAAAAACGCTCAAAACGCCGAAAGAATTCACATCGTGAATCAAGGTGGTAGGGTAATAAACGAAGAGAATAAACAAGGGGAGGTCCTTCGCTGTTCCTATTAGAAAGCAATACCGATTCAGTGATTAACAAGTAGATCCCTGAGGCTAATACCGCCGGAACTATAGAGGGTCATCAAACGCATGTAAGCTTCGTAATGGGGAAAATCTTTGCGCTCGACGTTTAGTCGACCTCCTCCATGGAGGACTCGCCGGCGGCGGCAGCAGGCGCAGCCTCCTCGGTACCCTTCTCCTCGGTGGTGTCGGCCTCCTCGTCGATGTTCAGACCAAGAGAGACGAGCTTGTGGATGCGCTCAGCGAAGCTGGCGGGCTCCTCAATGGTGAAACCAGAGACAAGAAGGGAGGTCTCGAAGAGAAGCTGGGTGATGGACTTGACAGTGCGGTCGCTCTCACCATCAGCCTCGACCTTCTTCTTGAGCTCCTTGACGATAGAAGACTTGGGAGAAATCTCGAAGGTCTTCTTAGAAGACATGTAAGAGCTCATGGAGGTGTCACGGAGAGCCTGGGCCTTCATGATACGCTCCATGTTGGCGGACCAACCGAACTGACCAGTACGGATGGCGCAAGGGGCACCAACGAGCTTGTGAGAGACAACAACCTTCTCGACCTTGTCGCCAAGGATGTTCTTAAGGCTCTTAGCGAGGGACTCATACTCCTTCTCCTCCTTCTCGCGCTCGGCCTTCTCCTCCTCGGTCTCTTCGAGCTCGAAGTCCTTGGTAATGTCGACAAGCTTCTTGCCATCGAACTCCTTCAGCTGAGTGAAGGCGTACTCATCAATGGGGTCAACCAGGAAAAGAACCTCGAAGTTCTTCTGCTTAAGGCTGTCGAGGAAGGGAGACTTGGCAACAGCCTTGATGGACTCGCCAGTGATGTAGTAGATCTGCTTCTGGTGCTCGGGCATGCGAGTGACGTAGTCAGCAAGGGAGGTGGACTCATCACCAGACTTGGTGGACTGGTAACGGAGGAGCTTGGCAAGGGTCTGGCGGTTCTGAGCATCCTCGTGGATACCGAGCTTGATGTTCTTGTTGAAGGCAGAGTAGAACTTGTCGAACTGCTCACGGTCCTCAGCGATCTCGGTGAAGAGCTCGAGAGTCTTCTTGACAATGTTCTTCTTGATGACCTTCATGATCTTGTTCTGCTGGAGAGTCTCACGGGACAGGTTGAGAGGAAGGTCCTCAGAGTCAACAACACCCTTGACGAAGCTGAGCCACTCGGGGATGAGGTCGGTAGCATCATCAGTGATGAAGACACGGCGGACGTAGAGCTTGATGTTGTTCTTGGTCTTCTTGGTCTCGAAGAGGTCAAAGGGAGCCCGCTTGGGAACATAGAGGATGGCACGGAACTCGAGCTGACCCTCAACGGAGAAGTGCTTAACAGCCAGGTGGTCCTCCCAGTCGTTGGAGAGGGACTTGTAAAAGGCAGCGTACTCCTCCTGGGTGATGTCGGCGGGGTTGCGGGTCCAGATGGGCTTAGTCTTGTTAAGCTCCTCCTCCTCGATCTTGCTCTCCTTGACGGTCTTAGTCTTCTTCTCCTTCTTCTCCTCCTCCTCATCATCGACCTCCTCGATCTTGGGCTTCTTCTCGTCACTCTCCTCCTCCTTGGACTCAGCCTCCTCATCGGGAACCTCCTTCTCGGTCTCCTTGAGGACGTGGAGGTAGATGGGGTAGGAGATGAACTCGGAGTGCTTGCGGACAACCTCCTTGATGCGGCTCTCGTTGAGGTAGTCGGTCTGCTCATCCTTCAGGTGAAGGATGATCTTGGTGCCACGGCCGAGTTGCTCACCCTCGGTGTCCTGGGTGAGGGTGAAGGTACCACCGGCAGCGGACTCCCAGATGTACTGCTCGTCATCGTTGTTCTTGGAGATGACAGTGACGCGGTCGGCAACCAGGTAGGCGGAGTAGAAACCGACACCGAACTGACCGATCATGGAGATATCAGCACCAGCGGAGAGGGCTTCCATGAACTGTTTAGTACCGGAGCGAGCGATGGTACCGAGGTTGTTGATCAAGTCCTGAAAGGTCACTGTTAGTATGGATTGCTCCTTTTGGGACCAATGGTAGGTGAATGGCTAGCACTTACAGCCTTGGTCATACCAATACCGGTGTCACGGATGGTAAGAGTCTTGGCCTCCTTGTTGGGGATGATGTCAATACGGAGATCCTTGCCCGAGTCGAGCTTGGAGGGGTCCGACAGAGACTCATAGCGAATCTTATCCAGAGCATCGGAGGCGTTGGAGATCAGTTCACGCAGGAAAATCTCCTTGTTGGAGTAGACGGTGTTGATGATCAGCGACAGGAGCTGAGAGATCTCAGCCTGGAACTCGAAAGTCTCGGCAGACATGGTGATGGTGAGAAGGGAAAATGGCTTTGATTCTGGCAAAGTTTGTTAGTCAGGTATCCCTCCTGCTCGAAATAGATATCGCAAAAGACGGTGAGGTGGTTTCAATCACGCGTGACTTTGATTTCAGAATGTCCCAGACACATAGTGTGATGAGTCACTACAGAAAGTGGGGAATGAAGAGAAGGGGGAAGAGGGAGGAGAGAGGGAGAGAGAGAGAGAGAGAGAGAGAGAGAGAGAGAGAGAGAGAGAGAGGCTATACTCACAGAAGAGATTGTAAGGTAGCGAAAGGTATCACAAAGAGATTAAGGAGATGAAGCAGACTTTGAGAGAGATGAGAGATGATAATGAGGTAGAAACGGAGGGGATGAGAGGAAGAGAGGTAGATAGGTAGGAAAAGGATGAAGAGAGCTGAGAGAGGAATGAAGAGTGTAGAGAGAGAAAGAGAAAAAATGGATCAAACTTGAGTAAGATCATTCGCAGGCGGACGGGAGCGGGCTTAAAGTGCTTGCGGCGGCGGGCGGCGGGGACACAAAATTTCCTTCCACGGCGATCCAACGATTTCCACCACCGCCCAAAGCCTCCAAGCAGTTTTCCCCAGGATTTTCCAGTCCCTTCTATGCAGTGCTGCGTTCCTGAAATTCTTCTTCTTTTGCCCCCCTCCATCCCCCTGGATCTAGATGGTTCGATTGATATCCGTAAACCCCTGAGCCATCAATGATTCTATATACTTGTACTAGAATTACACAGTGTGACAGTGTGAGAGCACCGATACCACAAGACAGAAGTGCCTGATATTCGAGGCCGTCAATCTAGAACGTTCCGCTCCACCCCTCGCTCCCTGGCCAATCACCGCCTGCACTGGTCGCACTTGACAACCATGAAGGGAGTACCTAGTAGACCTTACTAAGTACCTAACTAGGTAGGTAAGTACAGCTTCAAGGTTGAGTAGATTAGTGATACAGGGATAGACCATAACAATACGGGCACTAAGCTCGCTATGTATGCTAAAGACCCAAAGTAAGACTCATTCACAAATCTCATGACAATACAATAGGTAAAGGTAAAAGAAAAAAGAAAAAAGAAAAAACCCAGAGTCAGGTAGCCGACCAAGAAACAGCCCAGCCAGGAAAATGATCAGACAACTTTTCCAACCGCTAATATGCATTGTGCCAGAGCAGGACCACATAACACATGTCATTATTCAGTAAATGGAAGGGGGAGGGAGTAATACATGTCCTGGATCGCCGTGAGCATCTAAACCCATAAAGCCGTCTCAAACCAGGATGAAGGGCTAAAAAAAGAGATAAAAAAACCACATTGATGATCAAATGAAGAGATACAGAAGAGAAAAAGAAAGTCATAGGCAGTTGACCTCAATTCAATACCTTTGGGATACCCAAAGCAAGAGACCTGGGCCCGTGGAATTGGTTGATAAGAAGGTTTTTTTTAAGATTCATGAGGTTATTTTCTTTTGCTTTCTTTGTTCGTTGAAACGCTGCAGCGGTTTTAAGCAGCCTTGGTCTGATTGCGACCCTTGGCGTTGACATTGCCGCCACGGCCACGAGGAGCGAAGCCTCCACGTCCATCGCGTTGGAACCCACCGCGGCCCTGGCTACCGGCACGGTCTCCACGACCACGACCGGCTCCACCGCGGCCAGCATAGCTACCATTACCTCCGTAGGCGTTGGTACGAGCACGGCGCTCTTCAACGTAAATCTGCTCGCTTCCAATCTGGTGAGGATTGGCAGCAACAGCAGCGTTGTAGCCGGCAGCATCACTGAATTCGACAAAAGCGCAGTTCTAGAAGGGAAGAAAGGGAGGAAGTATATGTTAGCACCATCAATCACTCAATATGAGAGGAGCCCAAAAAAAAAGAAAAATTTACATACCTTTTGGCGGCTCACATCGAAGTGCTGGAGCTTTCCAAAGCGCGAAAGAGTTTGCTTGAGCAAGCTGGCATCGACCTTCTCCGTAACGTTCTTGATGTAAGCGAGAACATTCTGATCCTCAGTGGCGCGAGACTGGGACTTCTTGTGGTCATGACCAGCAGTTTGCCAGCCGGCCCCATCGTTGGACGAGGGCTGGCTGGGAGCAGATTCGGCAGCAGCAGCAGCTGCTGCTGCTGCAGGGGCGGCAGCGGGAGCGGGAGCGGGAGCCGCAGCAGGAGCGGGAGCCGCGGCCTGTGACGAGCTGGCAGGAGCAGGGGCGGGGGCAGCCGCAGGCTTCACTGGAGCAGCGGGGATGGCAGGAACCACCGGCGCGGCGGCGCCAGACTTGGATGCGATGTTGGCCCAGGTCTTAGGAATGGACTTGGCCGGAGGGGCGCTCTCCTTCGCGGGGGCAGGGGCCTCCTTCGCGGGGACAGGGGCCTCCTTTTGCTCAGGAGCAGGCGTGGGCTCGGGAGTCGCCGGTTCCTCAACCTTGGGGGCTTCGGGGGCTGCGGGCTCAACGGCCTCGGGGGCTGCCTCAACTGGAGCTTCCTCAACCTCAGTGCCGTTACTCTTAGGGGCCGATTCCTCGGCGGGCGCTTCCTCGACGTTCTGCTCGGTCTGCTCAAGCTTCTCATCAACCTGAGCAGCAGCATTCTCAGTGTCGACCTGAGACTGCTCGATCTGGGACTCCTTCGCAGCGGGCACAGCTTCAGGCTCGGACTCGGGCTGGGCGGGCTCCTCAACAGCTGGCTCCTCAGCCGGAGCGGCGGGAGCGGCAGCGGGGGCAGCCTCTTCGGTCTCCAGCTCCTCCTCGACATCAACCAAGTAACGGAAGATGTCGTTGAGAACATAGTAACCGTTAGGCTGCTCAGCCAGGACGAAGCTCTGCACGAATTTGCGAGACGGCTCCGACTTGTTGGAGATCTCACCAATGACGGAGACAAGGATATTGTCAAACGAGGCCTGCGAATCAACATTCAAGACACGGACCTTGCAGTCTTGGAAATCTAGCTGCTTGATCTTCTCGTTGATAGCCTGAGAATAGATGTATCGTCAGTCATTGCTCTTTCCTGGATGCGCTGACGCGCTCGATCAAGATTTACCCACTTTCTGACCCACTGCAACTTGAACGCTCTCCGCTTCTGTTCCAAAAACGAACTGAGAGCGCTTAGAGTAAAAGAACTGGAGTTTCTCCGGACTGCGGCTCATGTTGGTATAATACTGCTCGACAAAGTACCAGCCCACCTCATCTTTAGAGATGCCATTTTTCTGCTCGGTCGAAGGACCGTTCGAGGGAGTGATAGATTGTGCAGGCTGGAAGTTGGCAGCGCTATTCACATTGGCATGGTTGTGGTTGTAAGAATCGGGGTAGGCATGTTGCGCAGGATAGGTACCGTTCAACGGAGCCTGAGTCGTGTCGGCCATTGTGTGATGTGTAGGACTTGGAAGATTGGAAAGAGATGGAGGCGAAAGATGAGGCGGCAAAATCGCGAAAGCTCAAGGTATATGAACAATGAGAACTGAGCTTTAGTGGCAAGAAGAAGCTGGCGAAAGCAAAGCTCTATTGGGGAGAATCTTTTTCAATCGTCTGTTTAAGCTCCTTGTCAGTGATTGAGGTACTTTGGAGACATGACGAAGGCTGGAGGGGGGGGGGGGGGGGG